ATTATGGGTCACATAGACATCCATAAAGTTCTGATTTCGGATGACAAGTTCTCGTTGCAGCTCGTCTTCCAATCGGTTCCACTGCCCATTGTCAAAAATATTCTTGAACAGTTTTTTGAAACAAAGGAATATTGAGTGCAAGTAAGTGCCAGGAGCAATTCCGAAAGTGCTCTTTGCTTCATTAAAATCATGAAGTCTTGGTTCACTATTATTTGAGAAAGTTTACTTTTTATTTTTCCTTGCATAACTATGTGAAGTGCTCATGAAAACTTTGATCTGTTTTTAACTTTCATCACCGAATTTCTGTGATTCTAAAATTGATAAAAAAAAGGAGCAATAGAAAAAGGTTGTACAACATTGCGCTTTCATTCGCGCAATTTCTTTTTGATTTCCTCGAATTATCTCTTTTCTACAGGTTACAAGCGCCAGCGCCATAGCGAGCTAGGTGAGCTGTTCTGACTGCTAAAATTCGGTGTATCGTTAGGTACCCGCTGTTAACGCAACAAAGGGGCGTGGCTTAAAGTATACCACCAATGGGTGAGTACTATACTTGGGTAATTCGAAAATTTTTCATCGAATGAATGAATATCGAATAAATTCGAAAAGGAAAAATTTCGAATAAACGAATAACGAATAAATTCGAAAATAAAAAACCTCGAATAAACGAATATCGAATAAATTTGAGGTTCAAAAATTCTCGAATGAATGATTTTCGAATAAATTCGGAAAATCAAAAATATCGAATGAATGAATATCGAATATATTCGGACACCGGAAGTCGAATTTCGAATAAATATTCGAATGATTTATCGAATAACTAGAGCAACCAGATCTCAAACTTGCCGATATCTGGCTGAACCCGAGAGTAGCCTCGCCTCGTATCCCCTATACCAACTCCTAGCTCAGAATTTTCCAAAAATCGCTGAAGTCGAGAAAATAGATTTTTGGTTTTAATCAGCATCCTCTACCCCCCCCCCCCCTCTGTACCAACTCCCAACATCGTAGCTCAAGATTTTCCAGAAATCGACAAAATCGATAAAGTAAATTTTTATTTATAATCGGCACCCTCATTTACCCCCTTGTACCAACTCCCAGCCCCGCAGCTAGAATTTCTCCAAAAATCGATAAAGTAAGTTTTTATCCATAATCAGCACCCTCACTCACCCCCTTGTGTGGTATAAGCTAGTCGTGGACAAAGGCATGTGGTTTATTCCGCGAACCGAGCACGAACGCCCCTATAGCCCCGGGCATACTGCAGGCATTTCAGTGGCGACATGGTTTGACAATAATCAAAAAGCAGGGCATTTATCTTTTTAGTAAGTTGTACACGCTAAACATTTTAAGTAAGCCGGCGTTACATTTGAAGACATCTCGTAACTGGCAAATCGGCGATCTAAATCGTCTGATCCTCCACCACAACTGCGATGTCCTTTACTCATAATACACCAATTCGCAAAAAATCTCTAAGGTATATAGCGAACAGAGGCAGCTGTGCAATATAACTTATGCGAGCAAGAGTGCTCACTAGTGTGGGCTTTACGTACCAAAAGCATGAGCAATGCAAAGAGAGAAAAACAGGCATTTCAAAATACTTTCAGTTTATGAACTCGGAACATGATTTAAATTTGATAGTTTCTTTGCTGATTTTGTGCCAATAGCCGTGCAACAATCTCATTGATCGAAAAAGCATCAATTAAAATCCACATACGATTTTTCTCCTGTCAAGCAGTCGGAAGAATGCGACCCTCCACACAGTTCAAAGGTCATAACGGTTGCAAAAGATGCATTACCGAGTTTTGCGAGAAAAAAAAACGCGGACGAAGTGAGATTGATACTCAGCAGTTGGCTCTGCAACAAAGTCGAATAATCTGAATACGGAGTTCATTCGAATACGAATTCGAATAAACATTCGAATAAAACATTCGAATAAAATCTATTCGAAATCCCGTTTTTTGATTATTCGAGTTTTCGAATAATATTCGAATCCTCGTTTTTTGATTATTCGAGTTTTCGAATTTTATTCGAAACCCTGTTTTTTGATTATTCGAGTTTCAAATTTTATTCGAAACCCTGTTTTCTCAATTATTCGAGTCTCGAATATTATTCGAAAATGGAAGAACTCCGAATATCGAATTTCGAATACGAATATATTCGAATGTTTTATTCGATTGATCGAATTTCTATTCGATTCGGACCCAAGTATAGTGGGTACCTAACGCCCGCACCTCGGCTGGGTACCTAACGCTCGCCCCCCCCCCCCCCCGCTAACCGTCCTGACATCTCCACAGACCAAGTGCGAACCGAAATCGGAAGCGAGAAGATCGCTCCGGAAGCTGGGACCGTGAATTCACCGTGGGGAAGACCGCGCCCCCTGCTGTTTCCCTCCTGCACTAGAGCCCTTTTTCCGCAGTTTTCGAACTTTCCCGTGTGGATTTTCGGATTCAGCATAACGAATAGGCCCCAGTAAGCACAAAATCTCAAAATCGACTTTTTGCCCGGACACTGCCTTCAAAAGCCGCGGCCGCCGCAGCCTGATTCGTCTTCTTAGCTCTGAGTAATATTTGGTGAAAGCACAGTGATCAAAAGCGAAAAATGGGAAAAACGAGATTTTGGTTGGCTTCTAATTCCACAGTTTGGAGGTCTTCTGAAGCGGGATTCCTGAGGTGGACAAAGAAGGAGTAGTGCTTTGTCTTGAGTGCAAAAATGGATAGCTAATTTACCTTTGAAACAAAGTTAACCATGTTAGAATTTGACCATTTCACTTAGGTAGCCTAGTATCTTGAGTCTTCAAAATTCGCTCACACTTTGTCTACAGGGGTTATTTGACATGCTAATTATGGGTAGGATACGAATATCATGTTATCACTATTATCAGATTACCCAAGTACGACCCCTCCCCTTTCGACTCCTCAATACGACCCCCCAGGTGTGGCGTGCCGCACCCCAAGCTCGACCCTGGTAGTTAATATGGTACAGGCCTTACAAAACAATTAGCCTCGCCGTGCCTTGAACACCAGCACAGGCGAAGTGTCTACTAAAGCGGTCCCATTCGCTCATGCGTTTTCCGGTCAACATCCACGTTGTTTTCAGCATTGCACAGTGAATTTTAGCTGAAAACGTCTTTAGAAGCTGATGAAAATACGTTTAAAGGCCTCGGGCAGAGTTCACTCGGTTTCATCGTCGCGATTGAATCGTCAAATCGCGACAAGTCAACTGTAACAGTATCATTGCATGCCGATCTTCTTGCATTTCGGTGTGATAATTTTCCAACACGACTAATCAGGACTAACTATCACAACCGAGATACAAGAAGATCGACATGCAATGAATTCGTAACACTTGTCTTGTAGCCATTGAATCGCGACGGTCAAATCGCGTACTCTGCTCGAGGCCAAAGGAGGTGCGCGCTCATCATCGCCTGTGAATAGCCTATATCTTTTCGAGACCCGATGTGCCCAGCCGCTCCGCGCACCGATATTCAAGCGAGGCGCGAACAATCGGATTTCGAAGACCTATACATCTATATTTGAGTTAATTTTATTTACGTGCGACTTAACTCTGTGTTTAAAAGAGGAGTGGTAGGGTTCCCCTTTTCTCGGTGGCAAAATGTTCTTCCATCCTTATGCTTTATCACGATCGCTCAGTCTCTCAAATATGTCGCTCGTCCCTACAGAGATTCCCATAGTTACCATTTTCAGGTGTGCAACTAGCATCCTGCTTGCTCTGAAGGCGAATACGCCACAAGACTGCCTGGTTCCATGGGGCGTGTTGAGGCCCCCGCCAGAGTGCCGAAGCCATGCCAGCGCTACGCCAGCGTTTCGATCGATACACGTGTATTTTGTTGGGGCGGGGCTAGCTGACCTAGTTCTCAGCAGGTAGAAATCCCAGCAATACACGTGTATCGATCGAAGCGCTGGCTCGGCGCTGGCGTAGCGCTGGCATGGCTTCGGCACTCTGGTAGGGGCCTGAAGGGAGCGTTCCACCAGAATTTTGGTCTGGGCAATCACAAGCCTTTGATCTCGTGTAACTCTATACGGGCTCAAATCCGTGCAAAAGTCCCAGCAACGTGCTCCGAAGCTCCCGAAGCAAAGCGGACGAGCTGTCTCGCAGGTACCCCTGTCCTGCTTCACCTTAGCTTTGGCCGCAAGGCTGAACACGTCAAGAAGAACGATTTCGCCTGGAAAGACATGTTCAAGCAATAGAAAAATGGGTCGGGTGCGGAACGCGACAATCTCCAGATCTTGTACCTTTCAAACTCTTCGAAACCGACTCGGCGCCAACGTAAGGATGGGGCAGATACATGACTAGATGAAAAATTCTATAAGAACTGGCAAGGACGATTTTACACTGCTTGCATTTTGCGCGCATTGTCGTCTTCTGCGTGCCACCCCCGGAAAACCTAAACCGCACAGTCGATGCTCTTGTAGAAGGGTAAACGTCATCAGAGCATCTCGTAATCGTTGTTGTAAGCCTCTCTCCTTACAGCAGACCCTTTTGCTACAGCTCAGCTTATGTCAAACAAGCCTTTCTTTACAAGCTCGTGGAAACATAGATCGCGAGAAGACTTCCTAAGCGTATGTGCATGAAGATGTGCACTTGAGAAGCTACGTTATGAGAACAAGATATAAAGCTTAGATGAAGGCAAAGTATGTTAAGAGAGTAAGATCAACTGTTACAGATATGAGGACGATATGCAATCCGCAGTACGATATATAATCTATCACTGCGAGCACCCGCTGACAAGTCCACTACCGAGCCTCCACAGTCCTATGGCCTGCCCGTCTCTCTACGGCAAAGTATGTTATAAGAGTAAGAAACTTACAAGTCTCGACATCTCCAACGGTCTTGCCGCCGACTCAGTCAACCAGTATCCTCTTCCATCACACGATCCAGACTCACATTTGTACCTCATAATCATCGTGCTTCATTATAAATGGTAAACTGTTATGCTGATATTGTGTTCGTCTATGGTAGATAAGCTTCCACGGCGCTACGCTTACTTGTAGCAGCGACCGGTTTCGATTCACTGTGAATGATTCGTAAGTTTTTTCTTTACCGACCTTAAAAGAACGAATAGGCCTGGCCATCTTGTTTGCTCCGAAGGCAGAGCCCAGCACGACGTGGCATTTGAGAAAAATTGGGAACGAAGTTCTCTTTGACATTGCAGAAATTTACAATTTATCTATTGTGGATTTGGAAGTACGGGTTATGATCTACAGCAAACAATGAGTGGCTAAAATTGAGAAAAAACTGAAAATTTGGGATAAAACAACAAAAGGCGAGAAAAATGAAGATTTTTCATGTCGTCAAGTGCTGAAGCAAAGCAGAGGGGGTCGAAATTTGGGCTAAAGTGAGTATCATAGATGGAGCTTGACCTGAAGAATAGATTTAAAAAACTTTCGAAAAATTATGTAGGAAAGTGGGTAAATTGTGACTGTTTGGTCTCGCACAACCTCAGGTTGCTCCCAACCTAAAATAGAAAAACATTTACTACTTCCTTCATTTACATAATTTTTTCATAATTTTTCATACTTATCTTTTCTTCGTTGTCCCGAAGCCGTACACCGAATTTGATGGCTTAGTATTGCTTAGTCGTTGTAAACGAACTGATTGTTTGTCTTTTTGTGAATAGAGATCATGTTTTAACATGTTGGGAATGTGTGAACACAAGTTGGTGCACTGATCGTGTTGTAACGTGTTAACTGACCTATTAGTAGTTGAATGACGTTAGATACTCAAATTCGGGCTTACTATGTGTAGGAATTGTGCTTGCTATCCTATCAGATCCGGAATTCCTACCTGAAAACTTTACGATTTCCCTTTTGCTTCCCCCCCCCCACAAAACGATATCCAGCTTGTGAAAGCGCCACCTCTGCTGAGATCTGTCCGAAGGCCGTGAGCCGAAGCGAGCGATATCGCCTAGGGTCAGAAGACTGTTAGAGGCTTGATGAAATTGTGTTGAATAAGGTGTATGGTATGGTCCTTTTCTGCGTTTCTCACCATTGCGCAATATCTCTGCAAAAGGTGGAGGTGACAAAGCTCGCGACATAGGTCACGTCTCAGTGCAGGAGCTCTAGCTCCAGCTAGGGTCGTGACCTATACTGAAGCGATTCGACGGGAATATTGAAAGGATAGCTAGCAAGTCGACCCATGGACCTGCGAAATGAAACTGAGCTCGAGTTGTGCCTCGTTCTTTACCTTTCAATTTCTTTATCTTTTCTCCTTATGTTTCTCCTCTTTCTTTGCATTTTTTTATCAGAGGAAAAGGCGTTCTTTTTGAATCAATAGGCTTGTCACAAACATCGCCGAATGCTTTCTGTAAATAAAGTCTGGAGATGATGACTCCGTTTTGAGAACTTCTTCTCAAAGTATCGGTACCTTCACCACCTCGTAAGCCTGCGGCTCTGAAGATTTATGAATCATGTCTAGTGATCTGCAAACTTTTCATCGTAAAAAAGCTTACACTATCTTTTCTGGAGTCCTTATAAACTTTTTCCCGCTGCAAAATTCCTTGTAGATCCAATACACTCAAGCTAACCTGTTAGACATTATTACAACTGATATCAAGCTCAAAACAGGAACCGTAACTTTATCGACTGCAGAAACAACATTTGCAATTTATTCAAAATGCAATTACAACGCACAGAAAATTGAGATGTAACAATTTGTACAGGCGATAACTGTAAAGTTGGTGCAAAATATAACCGCCAATAGCATTGAATACGAGGCTGTAGTTATCCAAATGCTTTGTCTAAGGTTCAGTTCAGTTTCAAAAAAAAACTGGACTTCGCAAATATTCTGGCAGATATTTTCGGTGTAACTTGTCTTTCCTTTGCAATTTCTCAGTATCCAAAGTTATAAATAATCAAACTGCTTAATTGTATCCGAGTTTTGCAAAAAAGAAGCCCAAACGTGGTGTATGTTGAGCAGCCATTTTTGCACCAACCTTGGCAGTATATTCAATTCTGTTATAAAGAGCTGGAGATCAGAAATAATAAAAAAGAGGTCAGAGTTTCACACGTTCGCCTTTTGTAGCAACACAGCAATTCCATCGCCATGATAATTCATTAATCCCAGCAGCAAAGAAATTGCTAGGTCTTGTACGAAGAAAATTATTGAGGTCAGCTTTCAGGTTAGTAAGGTATTTGTAATTCCTTCCCTCAATGTAATCAAAGAGACGCTTAAAGAAGTAGTAGTGAGAAGGTAATAGATCTTTGGAGCCCAGAGGGTATGGAAGGATCTCGAAATTGTATTCGTGTAATTTGGCTATCACCCCAGTAGTCATATAATCGCGCGGTTCGTCACATAGGAGAATTGGCCCAAATTCGCCAATATTCTCAAAATGACAAGATTTAACTACTTGATCCAGCTGAAACATGAGAATGGGTACAGTCATCATTTGTGAATGGAAGTTGTAGCTCTCTTGCGAAAAAGCATGATAGAGTATCCCAGTGGATGACCACCAGATGGTATACAGAACACTTTGGCCAGGAAGACTGTCCGTGCACATCAATGTTGCACGTTTATGACTCTCAAAGTGGATCCGCTTAGACGCACATGTGATGAGTCCGGAAAGGAATGGTGCCCTATGATTCCTGATAGATAAGGAGGAAATTATCTCGAAGCGTTCTTGCTTTTGTGTTTCGTTGATGGGTACATGCATACAATTAGCGTGCAAATCCCTGATATCGTCGTAAGGGCTCAAGGACTTCACCAGATTATTGTAACCAACTAATTTTTCACGCCAATCCTTTGTTTGTGCTCTGCCAGACCCTAATGTATTCCCAGAGATCCAAGTTGTTTCATCCTTGCCGAATTTTACGCTGGAAGGATCCCTCAAAGACAGTAACATGTTTTCTATCAATATGCCAAAACCATAGAACTCACAAAAACTGAGCATTCGTAAACGAGGAAGCAGCTATAATCTCGTAGTCATTCTCCATCTCTATGTCGGATCTAAATAAACTCATTCTTACTAAGAGTTTGATCCGAAAACGGAGTGTTGATTTTCAATGAGTGACTATAGTTGACTGCACGGAATCGACCGGGTTGAACGCCCGCGAACGTGTCTCTTGCGGACTAACATTAGCATTCGCGCGCATGAATCCTCATAGCGTCCGTACCCGGGAGCCGCGTTGCAGGCACGCTTGCGTGCGTTCAGCCTATAGCGACCCGGGCGATTTCGTGCAGTCGACTTTACCTGGAATTTTAAGACTAAACTAGCTGGCAAACCCGGCTCCGCTCGGCCCTGCCAATAATATTTTCGTGATCAGCATGCTCATATACCCCTCTGCGCCAACTCCCAGCCCTGCAGGTCAAATTTTGCAGAAAATCGATAAAATCGATATCGGTCAATGACGAAATATAGCCCACGACACTCACATGTCAAGTTTAGTCTGGATCGGTTTAGAGATAAATATTATATTTGGAACATACAAACAGACAAACAGACATTTGGCTTTTTATAAAAGATTAGTTGCAAAAGCCCACTAGAGGGTTCGACATAAAGAACAAGAAGAAGACAAAGATAAGCTACTCCAGTTCACGAAGACAGTAGCTAGATAACACATCTGAGACATATGGGTCCCACCGGCGCCTAAGAATATGATACTATACTCTATTTTGAGTTTGTATGTTCTACTTATTTTTTTCGCACTTGTTCTTTGATAACATCTGTAGTAGAAAAGGTATCTACAAAAGAAGTGATCAACCAGAAAAGTAAGTACAAGTTAATGCGAAACCTTAACAGCGGATCAGCGCTCTAGCTTTGCCTTCAGTACTCAAGTTGATATATTCACTTATCATTAGATCACTTAACGATGTGGCACATACATGTTGACAAGGATCCAGAGGGTATAAATATCGGTGATGAACGATTTCTAGCAGTCTCCTCATAAGTCTTTTGGGACAAGGTAAGGTTTGATCCAACAACTCTTTTGGGGTTAGAAATGACAAATTAGGTTACTTGAAAACTAACACAAGAGTGGTTGATCAAAAATTCATAGTTTTGTCCAAGCAGTACTTTAGGGGATTAACAAGTCTGCGGGGCCACCACTCTCATAACATTGTACTAACTTCTATCTCATTAATTACACAGGGTGTCCCAAAAAAATGTATCGAACATTTGATCGTTAATATCTCTCTTCCCAAGAAGTCTTTTGCCTTGCTTTAGGTACCGTTTTGTAGAGCTAGCTTCAACTTAGATTCGCATTATAGAACGAATCACCTATCTCTCCTCAATACTGTAGGATTACGGTAGAAACTTGAAACATATGGTGTCAATGTGGAAAAAGCTGCCGTTTCAAAATTTTTCAAAAAATGTGAAAACTTGTGTATTGGGGTTTTTTATGGACGCTGAGTTCAATACTCAACTATTCACAAGATTACCAAGCTTTCCAAACAGTGTAACTGCACTTTTTAGGAACATTGAAAAAATGGCCGCTACCTCTTACCTGGCATAACTCTTCAATGAAGCATCATAATAAATTGGGAACTTTACAGTTATAATCAGCAACTCTGATTAGCCTAGTGTAAAAGTTTTCAGGCTGTTTTCTTTCCTTTCTGGGGCAAAATATGGCCTTTCATTGTTTAAAACCCTCTTTGAAGTTTCTACAGTAATCCTACAGTAATGAAGAGAGATGAGTGATTCGTTCTATGATGTAAATCTAAGTTGAAGCCAGCTCTACAGATTGGTACCTGAAGCAAGGGAAAAGACTTCTTCAGAAGAGAGATATTAACGATCAAACGTTCGCTACATTTTTTGGGACACCCTGTAATTTTAGCTTCCAAAATAAAGGCTGATAACCCGTTTGTGGTAATAACCAGTTTTATAATTTTCAACAGATACCTTAAACGAGGCCAATTTACGATGATTATGATTTACGAGACCAACAGTATCAGTAGCTATCTCTTGGAGGGCTTTATCGCATCATCGCAATGCGTAATAGGTAAAATATAACTATTCAATGAAAACCATTTTGAAGGAATAGTAATTAAAGCAATTGAAGTCTTGAGTTTGCGCGGTAAACTGACGTTTAGCGAAGGTTCAACGGGGAAAGATATTGTTAACCGTTGTTTTTCGATATGCGACATATGTGATGACATTTGCCTTGAAACGCGAACTTACAACTGTGTACGTTATTTGCAGAACGATTTTTCGAAAAAAACGGTATCTTTTCGCGACATGTTTGCATAAGAGTACGAGTAAAGTCGGTAGGTACAAAAGGTGATGGTCTAGCGTTAGCGCTGTCGAATATTGCATGGATCCTGTTTTGATCTCTGTCGATGCCAATCTTTTTTGCATTCGCTTTCACAAGTGCTATTTCTTCTCAGAGAAGCGCTCCCAGATAACGAACATAGTTCGAGATCAGCGTTTCGAGATGAGCATTCTGATGTATAACACATTCCAAAAGGGCACGGTCATCAATTATCCTTCCCTTGAAAGATACCACGACTGTGATCAGCCTTTCATATGAGTGGTAAGCGGGTGGAGAACATTAGGTCGCCGAATTTGGAAGAGTCCCGCGCGGATTCCCTGCAGGAAAGCATGTCCGCGCATGTACAAGGGTGCGTATTTGTCGCAAATGACCGCGAGGACCGCCTTTTCGGCGACCTAATGTCCCCCACCCGTGGTAAGCTAGTAAGGAAGAATCGTCGAACTTCAAGCATACTTTTCGCACCTAGCAATCGCAGCTGAGCAAGCGACTGTGTAGGAATTGCACTTTTCTGCAGTAGTAGAACTATTGGGTTGGCACATAAGTAATGCAGCTTTTTACGTGTCTTTTTGAAAGTAGCGGTTCATTTTCTGGCAATATAAGAATTATGATGTAAACTGCAGATGCGGACATTTGTGCCGTCCTGCCACCTTATGTAAGGGTTACGGTAAGTTTACGGTACTATGGGAGAATTTTCAGATTGCGTCACATTTCGCTGAAACTTGGCCTATGGGCGTTATTCGACATGCTGATCACAAAAATGAGAACCGTTTTGCATAAAAAGGCCTCTTTCGTAAGGTCAAAAAACTAATGTGATCTTAGCGACAAATGAATATGATATTCGTGTTCACCGTGTTAGATTAATCTAGTGTGCATAAATTTAGCAAATTCTAAGGTTTCGCAGCTTAGTTATTGACAGATTGCCTTCAAAACTTGACGCATTTGACTTGTTCTACTTCTCAAAGGCGCCTCATTTAAGTTTTCTCAAAATTTCAATTCCTTTTTTACTGATTCTAATGGGTCAACTTCTAGCTACATGCGGCCTTTATTTCCTTTTTGATATGTTTGATTCAGGTTTTGTACGTCTTGATGTTCAAAAACCGTGAAACTTCGGTTTTCAAGGGTTCCCAAAAATGCTCAAATTTTTTATACCACGCTATCATAAATCAAACAGTTTGGGCAGCTTGCAATCAACGTCACACTCTATGTAATGCCAAAGAATGAGAGTGCTAAGTAAGAAAAAAGTTATGGGAGAAGTTGCAAAACTTATGTGCCAATGTAATAGTCATTCACGTAAAGTTACCTTGATAGATCTTCTTGTTCTTTTTCCATTTTTACACGGCTCCGGTCATCGGAGTCCGCATCCGCGACAGCGACTGACCCAACATTCTCTTTGGCATCTTTGACAATTCGTCCGTCTGAAGTTTATTTTCAACATCAACACATTCAAAATCTTCTAGGCAAGATTAAGATAGAGCCGGGCAGTTATATCAAAGCTCCGACGCAACTATTGCTTTACCCACTGAATCGACTCTGATTTCATTCAAATAAGGCAGCACCAAGCTACTTGCCGGTAGTGGTAGTGCCGGACACTCACCTCCCAAAAACGTCGACCGGGGGGGGGGGAGCAGAGCTTAACGTCTATCCTTCCAGATCGTTGCCGCCAGTGCGCGGAAAATAAGCAAAACAAATGCAAAAGGGATCATTGAAAGCATATTTTTTGTATACAGCGTCACATATCAAATAGTGTATTTGGAAGTAAAACTCAGCGAAACTGTACGTATATTATTAATTGAATTTTGTTATAATGTACAGGGAAGAAAGTAGATCGATCCAGGCAGTAACGGCCGAGAACCAGAATTTAGAATGATAAAATAATGAAAAATCGTGAAAAATCATTCCGCTGTAACAAATCTGCTGGCTGAAGACCTCCGCAGTTGCGACTTCATAAAAGTTTTGAAGGGTAGGTGTTGTTCTACCAGACAATGAAAGAATCAGTTTGATTTGAGGAGTGGCCGCCGAGAACGAGAATTTAACTTAAAAATCTTCTCAATTTTAAGTTGTTTAATGACAACTGACATTTAAACTTTATAAATCCGGACTTTGAAGGCGTGGATGTTGCGACTTCATAGGTTTTGTAGGGTGAGGTTTGTCCTACCAGAATATGTCTTAGCTGTACCGTTCCACTGAAGCATCGCCGAGATCCAGGCTCATAAAAAAGCAGGTAAAAAACCGTTTTTCAGCTCATAACTTTCTCAGAATTGCATGAATCATGTTGCGACTTCATGGGTTAGATTTTTCTCTTCAAGAGCTTTCAGATGATATATAACATGTGGGGGATTCAATATTTCTTGCGGCTCTAACCCGGGGTGGAGTACTCCTCTTCACTAATTCTCCACCCCGCCCATTTCAATGTATTGGCGGGAGGCCGCCAGTGGAGAATCAGTGAAGAGAGGTACTCCACCCCCGGGCATATGACGTGGGAGGCGTGAATCCCCCACATATTATATATCAAGCTTTGAAAGCTCTTGATGAGGAGAATCCAACCTGTAATGTCGCAACATGAATCATGCAATTCCGAAGAAGTTAAGAGCTGAAAAACGGTTTTTTACCTTCTTCTTTAAGAGCCTAGATCTCGGCGATGTTTCAGAGGAACGGTACAGCTAAGACATATTCTGGTAGGGCAAACCTCCCCCTACAAAACCTATGAAGTCGCAACATCACACACCTTCAAAGTTCGGATTTATAAGAGTTTAAATGTCAGTTGTCATTAAGCAACCTAGAATTGAGAAAATTTTTAAGGTTTTTCAAAATTCTCGTTCTCGGCGGCCACTCTTCAAATCAAATTGATTCTTTCACCGTCTGGTAGAACAACACTTACCCTTCAAAACCTATGAAGTCGCAACTGCGCAGGTCTTCAGTCAGCAGATTTGTAACACTGGAATGATTTTTCACGATTTTTCATTATTTTATCACTCGAAATTCTGGTTCTCGGCGGTTACTGCCTGGATCGACCTACTACATAGATATATGCTCTTAATACTTTCTTTCACATTCCTTTTGCTTATTTTCCTTCTTTTGAGCTTTAGCAAAAAATTTCAAACCCAAAAGTGAAGATGGTCACACTGTACCAGCTCAAAAGTGAAGGTAGGCGGAGAATCGGCTCCGACTATCGCACCTCTGCCTACTACTAAAGAAGATATCCATACCGTCACCATCGTCATCAAAGACATGCTCTAAGTGGTTGACATCTTCCACTTGTGGTCCATTGTGGAGGCCATTATCGTGCATGAAATTGCCGCAAACTTCACCTTTCACTACTAAATAGCAAGCTCGCGATTAGTCCGTTAAGATAAGTTTACCAACCCATAGGATAAACCATAGGCATCAGCTGCGGCATTTCTGGGTCAGAAGCAGAAGGTTCAGGGTCTAAACGAGGTGTTGTGACGATTACAAGTACACTTCAATGTGTTGTAAACTCAAAACTTTTCCTGTAAGCTTGAAGTCAAATCAAATGATCATTTTGATACCCAGGAATATTTTGTCAACAATGCTTCGAAAATATGTTCTCTTCTTGAAAAATCTAATTTGCTTCACATTAGTTATCCTCGAATTGAAGCTGTGCTCCAATAAATTTATCTAACGAATCACCATCAAGTTGGAATGGCTTATTGAGGAAGCACAAGAAAGCAGATTCTTGATCTTCCAACTTCTTTTGCGCAAAAAGACAAGAAGGGTCTGTCATTGCTCCATCGGCATCACATCCATCTACAAACTTCTGCACCAAAAGTCGGTACTAAAAATGGGAGATATGGGAGATACGCAAGGCTTCTAATTCTTAAAGCGGAAGGCTGTCTCACCTCTTCAGCCTGTTTCCTAAATGCTTTCGTTTTTGCATTATATCTCTTTTGAAAATCAATGAAGAATTGAGTTAAAGTAGCCGTCATTTTCCATCTTCGTTCGTCATATTGCTAAAAGACGTCTAGTAATGAAGTTAAAATACAAATACTTTCAAAAAAGTGGTACCTACAGTGATAGACTTGGAGACCTCCACCAAACGAGTGTAAGTTTCATCTTCCAATATTTCACTGCCAACAAAAGATGCTTCTATCTGCTCACCAAACTTCTTTCCCCACTTCTTCCGAAGGTATGCATCCTTTAGATAGTAACAAAATCATATCGCTACAACGCGAGTGATTTTTGTGAAAGCTCTCTAGCATTTTCGAAATTTTCTATGACTATCTGACCCGTTTAGCTTCTAAATCAAAGATGTACACGTTTTGTACACATTTTATTGCTATTGCAAAGCTATTGAATCATCGCGCAATGAAAAAATGAAATATGCAGCTTTCTTGTACATCTGTGGCCGTATACTCAACGAATCCAGCAGGTTGCAGAACCCACTGGGCAGACTTTGACGGGATAGGTATTCACGAAGCTTCTGCTTGTATTCGTGTTTCTAGTTGTCTATATTTGTTCGTGTTTGTCTATGTTCGTCTATTCCGCAAACTAATAAAAAAAGTTCCGGTCCCCAATCCAATCAGCAGATAGACACTTCAAAAAAAGAAAGAAAAAAAGAAAGAAAAAAAGCGGTTTTTAATCAAATTGTCTGTTTCTTTGACATCGTGGGGTAAAAATCAAAGGAGAGAGAACAGAGTAATCATGGTAATCACGTATTATTTTGCATCATTGAGATTAGAACCGTGTCGATGATCCCTTTGCACATTCCAATCTAAGGAAAACGTACTCTCCCTACCATTCGTGCGTCCTCGCACAGAAATACAAACGGACAGACTTGAGCGCTTCCTGCGAATATGCACTTTATCACCAGTGGCGGGTTGAGAAGAGAGGGACGCCCCCCCCCCCCCGAGTATGGCCGCGAAATTTTTGAAATTTACATACGGGTTATAAAAATGTGCAAGTGAGCTGTTTATTGTTGTAAATAGATAAAATTATTTCTGGAATTTTTGAAAATTTTAGACTTATAAAAGTTTTTTTTCGGGGAGTGCCTGCCTTCTTTTTCTAGATTTTAGGAGTTATGGATCTGCAAAAATTCTGAGAAGCAAACCAAAAGATTTTTCGGGGTGCGTGGCTTACACTAAGCACCTTCATTCGAGAAAAAATTTTGCCCATTCCCTCTCCCCCCCCCCCCGGACGGAAATCCTGCGACTGCCACTGCTTGCACTGATGATGATAATTTCATTTGAAGGTAGAAGTTTGAAAAAGGCGTAGATTTACTTATCATATGAAGCAAAATCATCCAGAGGATAAAACTTAGCTAGTCTTTGCAACATGACAATTAATCAAACTGAATTTGTGAATATCAGCAGCTCCGTCCCCCCCCCCATCGAGAATGAGTCGCGAAATTTTTGAAAGTTACTTACATGAGTTAAAAAAATGTGCAAGTGACTTGTTTATACTTGTAATTAATCAAAGTAATTTTTAAAGTCTTTGAAAATTCATTTTAGCGCCTTCATCAAAAAAATTTTTTTGCCGCCCCCCCCCTCCTCCCCCGAACGGAAATCCTGGGTACCCGCTTGTGTGGGGTCATGGTCAGACTACCATAGGCGAGAGAATACATGAGTATAGAAGGGAATAAAGTAAGTGCAAGTTTTGTTGCACAAAAGACAATTAATGTTCATTCTTCCGAACATACGAGTTCCCGAAAGCGTCTCAAGCGTGCTGGCGCTTCTAGGTCAGCGCGATCCGTGCGTGTTGAGAGACGGGACTACAGAGTGTCCCAAAAGATGTGCACACTGTTTGATCGTTAATAACTCTCTTTCTTTCACGTCTTTTACCGAGCTTAAGGTACCATTCTCTAGAGCGAGGTTCAACATAGATTTGCAGTATGGATCGGGTCACCAATCATTCTTCATTACTGTGGGATTACGGTATGAACTTTCAGCCTATAGCTTCGCTGTGGAATAGGCCATTCGAAGAAATATTTTCAAAAAAATCTGAAAATTTGTGTGGCAAGGTTTTCAGGCGTGCTCATTTCACTACATAACTTTTCATGATTTTTTCGAGCTTTCTTGATGGCGTATTCACATTTCTGACGAACTTTGGGAAAACAGTTTTTACCCTAAATCCGAAATAACTTATGAATGAAGCATTATATTGGAATGCAAATTTTATATTTAGAATCAGCGACTTCGATTGTCCCACTTCACGAGTTTTTGGCTGATTTGGCTTTCTTTCTGAGGCAAAATACCGCTTTCAATGGCTTAAAATTCTCCTCGAAGTTCCTACCGTATCTTACAGTGATGAAAAGCGATCGATCATTCGCTCCATACAGCAAATATAAGTTAAACCTCGCTCTACAGAATGGCACCTCAAGCTCTGCAAAAGACATGAAAGCAGGAGAGATTAACGATTAAACAGTGTGCACATCTTTTTGGACGTCGTGTATAATATACAGATTAGAGAGGCACACTTCTGGCATAATGGGTTAGCGAACCCAGCGTAGCACTTGTGAATACCGATCTTACGCAGGGGGTTCGCGAACCGACGGAACCCACTCGGTTCGTTGATGAGCACGGCCACTGGAGAGGGGGAGCGGGTTGGAACAAAGTGCTTTTGTTTCTGATAAATGCGCTCAATCTCGAACTTTGCCATTGCATTCTTCCAAAAACTTGAGGTATTGCACAATCGCGAAATGAAAGCAAATGAGCGAATAACTCACCACAGAAAAGATATGCTCATTACAGATCCATAATCCACGTTCGGTAAATAAAGATGTAAATAAGGTTTTCGCTTTCTCCACATCGATTTTCTCATTGATGAGTAAACAAGATAGCAGAACTAATAAAGTGCTTTTCGTCAAAGGGCTTTGACGCAAGTGTTTAATCGTTTTCAATTCCTTGCACAAGAAACACTTCGCCCTTCGTAAAGCCAACAATTGATCCTCGCTGAAAACAAAAATTGTACACAGAGTGAAACAAGTGGCTTGGCTTGAGCTGGCACCCGTAAATTTTGAAGGCAAAGTCTCTTCTAAATTCGCAACATTTTCGCGAAATCCCCTGTAATGTAAAATCGAGTGAGTTCAAGTCTCGAAACACATAGCCCTGTGATGACTCTGATGAAGTTGACTTCGTACAAGAGAATAGAACTTTCACCTGAGAAAAAAAAGAAGTCATCCGAACCGGACCGGCAGTTCCCGAAGAGACAATCTGCGGATCAAAATGCCACCAAAAGAAAGACTTCAAACTTATTGCCGCGCTTTTCCCGGTTGTTAATAACTTCTTTTGCTTTTGCTATTTAGTTTACATCCCTTCCTCATTTGGTGCCATCATTGCTTTTCCGTTGTAAACCGGCCATATTTATGCTTTCGAGCACAACTTCAGCGATCTTCAGATAGAGGTGCATCTCTCCAATTCTTTCTCAAACTTTTTTGTGCTCCGCAAAAACTATTCGCTTTGCTCTTCAATCAAAAACGATGTCGGACTTGCAGCAGTGCCGGACAAGCTACTGACTCTTTGTAAACCAGAGAAACTTTAAAGACGCGTTTCCCAAAGGTGGAGTTACTGCTGTACAAAAGCGAGACCTCTACATGATTGCACAACTTCCCCTGCATAGTAAACGAAGTGGAAAATCTTCATAAAATGCCTTATGCGGTGTCAGACTCCCATCATGCGTGACCTCTTCAATAAGTAGTTATTAGGCCTCAAAGTACTGAGAGTGCGGAAGGGGGAGGAGGGAAGCCCTAGGACCAGGGACCGCAGAAACTCACCCCTCGTTTTTGACATGCTAGCGGCACCAAAGTGCTGTCGTAAGAGAGATAGTGCGAAATGTTTCAAAAAGAATTATGGGAAAAAAACACAGTTAGACGCAGATTAAAAAAACCAAAGAAAATATGTCAATTGTGAGTGCACGTACAGAGTTGTCGTAAGCCTGCTAGCTACTTATACATTTACGCATCAGTCATGCTGCTGTGTACGCCCTGCCGTGCTCTACATATGGAGCAAATTTGAAGATTCCAGAAAGCTTCCGGAATTTTTCAGAATCTTACAAAAAAGTGTAACAGAAATCATCCGTTAACCTATGCTCCATACGATCTCGGTGGTATGGTGGCCTTTTGCAAATGGACTGATTGACTTTCAAAAATGGTATTACCACACATTTTACAAAACTTTCTATATAATTCTTCCGCAAAAATATTTTATGCCTGCAATTCGAATTTGCTGTTGTATGCTTGCCTCCAAGCAGCCAACAAGCAACTTGTTAGTTTCGGCTTCGCCTTCAAATCGCGCGCGCTCTTCGCAAGACACGATGGAGCGCTTCCATCGTGAAATAACCTGCCTTCAGAGCCTATACTTGACTGAGTAATCGCTTCTGGCACTACAGAAAGTTGAAATGTCTTGCATACTGCATGCCCAGTTTTCCTCCGCATATATCTTATATATAAAGCTGAATGTCTGTTTGTATGTCTGTCTGTATGTATGTCTGTCTGTCTGTAAGTATGTTCCGAATACAAATTTTTATTTCTGAACCGATCCGGACCAAACTTGGCACACATACACTTCGGGCCACGGCGGGTGTCATAGGCTACTTTTCGTCATCGATCGATATCGATTTTATCGATTTTTATCGATTTTTTTGCTGAGTTCACCTACGGGGCTGGGAGTTGGCACAGGGGGGTAATCGAGCATGGGGATTCCGAATACAATATTGATTTTCAGGATTATCGATTACTTTTATCGATTTTATCGATTTTTTTGCAACGATAAAATCGATAAAAGTAATGGACGATCTTGAAAACTAATATTGTATTCGTAATCTGCATGCTCGATTACCCCCCTGTGCAAACTCCCAGCCCCGCAGGTCAAACTTTACAAAAAAATCGATAAAATCGATAAAAGTAATGGACGATGCTGAAAACTAATATTGTGTTCGTAATCAGCATGCTCGATTACCCCCTGTGCAAAATCCCAGCCTCGCATGTCAAAATTTACAAAAAATCGATAAAATCAATAAAAGTAATCGATAATTCTGGAAACTAATATTGTATTCGGAATCCCCATGCTCACTTCCCCCCTGTGCCAACTCCTAGCCCTGTAGGTGAATTCTGCAAAAAAATCGATAAAAATCGGTAAAATCGACATCGATCGATAACGAAAAGTGGACTGTGACACCCGCCGGGGCCCGAAGTGTATGTGTGCCAAGTTTGGTCCGGATACGGCGGAGCCGGGTAAGCCAGCTAGTCACTCATAAGGCATGTACAAAATTTTTCCCGGGGCTCCGTTCCCCTTTTGCTTTTTATCTCAAAACAAAGTCGAGCCTGCTTCCATTCGATCTGCATCGGGCCCTGTCCGGGATCGCCACTGCTAGCATTGTCAAATTATGCCTCAACAAGAAAATACGATTTTCAACACTTCTAGTCTCCGAAGCACACTTTCGGAATCAGTATCTTATAACCTATGCCGAGGGCACGGTCCAATACGAAACAATTTTCCAGAGAAGTTCACAGGTAAATTTTGTAACGGACCTTGGCCAGCTGCTTCAAAAATACGCCAGTGAGCCACCTTTCAAAGAGCTTGCATTTCAACATTATTATGTAAGTTCAATAAAACTGCAGAGATGAGAATTTGATCTGCTCAAAAAGCTTCTTCCTACCATATTCTTTGAGGTAAAGAAACTTGTTTTGGATGGATCTGTAAGCGGGGACATTTGCGAACTTTAGGTACAATGGGTGCATTCATACCGAGCCCGCAGCCGCCGCTAGCAGCCCCTAGCAGTCCGTAGCAGACCCTAGCAGCCGCGAGCAGCCCACAACAGCCGCCAGCAACCCGTAGCCGCCTCTGGCCGCTTTTGTCATAAAAGCGCAAAATCATCAATTTCTTAGCATTTTAAGTGGAAACCCCCACGCTTTCCATCTTCCACGCTTTTCCTTCCTGTTGTCGCATTTCAACTCATATATCTACCTGTGTCCATTGTTGTTAAATCCGTGTTGCCGTAGACTGGTTATCCTATTGGTGCTCAGTTTCCCTCTCGCAGTGAACCATATCTCGCCAAAGTTTCTTCGCGATGTAATTCCTTCTGACTTTGGATGCGTCCAGTTTTTGCAGGTATGCTATTAGTTTATTTTTTGAGTATGGTTGTTCTGCTTCAATATCTTGTATACGAACTTGCGTTCGTATCGTTCTTTGGATCCTGAGGAATGCGCAATGGCAAACTTTGACCAGGGCTCGAACGTTTCACAGATTTATTTTCTTTGATGTTCTTATCAATGGATTTCCCATGCTTGCTTTAAGTGTGTTTATATCCGCTTACATATATAAGTAGTTAGTATCGTGTAGTGAACATATTCACGGTTGCATGTTGTTTTCCCTTTCTCTCATTGTATCTCACGTTATGATCATTCTTGCCTTTATCTTAGCCATATTCTCTTCACAGATCTCTCACAGTAAATCACAATCCCCTCACAGAACCCCTCACAGTAACTCATAGGCTACTTGGATGGCATATATTGAACTAATACCCTTTATGTACTATTGTTGCGTTTTGTAGTTGTTAATGAGTATATTTATAATAAAAGTTTAATTACCCAAGTTTGAGGTACACGCTGTGCACGAAAGTCCCGCGTAGCACTCAAGCGATATCCACACACAGTGTAATAAGTGCAAACAACTGGTGCATCGGCCGGGAACGGAGGTACGATTTTTCGCTAACGAGTAACGCTTTCAACTAACAAGCTGCACGTTACTCACACAGTTAGCACAATGCTGCACAACGAATCACGGAAAAAGTCACCTCACAGTCACCTCACAGGTCCCTCACAGTAAGAGTCACAGTTTCCGCACAACCATTCACAGTATCTTACACAAACTAACTCAGCTAACCATGAGCAGTACAGTAAGATCACTGAAAGGACTTGTCGAAAAGGAATGACGCAGCGATAAACTGGCTGCAGAACTCCACCCAAGCGCTCACAAATATTCAAGCCAAGGAAAGCGCAAGGAAGATAAAAACCTGTGAGAGGTATACGGAGCTGCTCGAAACGTCATTGACAAAGCTAAGCAAGGCTTTTGATAAAGCTCCAGAGACCACAGAAGAGGAGGAGGACCACCTGGACAAGTACATAGAGAAGACACAGGCAACAATAATGAAGCTACACGAGCACAGGACACGGCTAAACGAAGCCCAGGAGGATAATATCGGGTTGACACAGACGGCACTACTAGCCTAGCTGCAGTCAACAGACTCCCGATTATCCCTATCCCAACATTCACAGGGAAGAAGTGGGAATGGGATAACTTTTGGGCCCTATACAAAGCCAATGTCCACGATCAGAACCTAACAAAGCTGCAAAAATTTAACTATTTGCTGGCATCCCTGAGTGGGGAAGCGAAACAATTAGTTTCACGGTTTTTCGTCTCAGCGAATAATTACGAGAAGGCCATCCAACAACTTGTCAAGAGGTATGGCGATAAAGATGGCATAGACTTGGGATTAAATAAAAGTCTACACAACTGCGTAGCAAGGGGACCAACTACGACGAAACAACGACAGTTGTGGGACAAACTGTCAACGATTGCAGCACAATTAGAGAAGCATGAGGAGCAGCTCAACAATCAACTAACAGTACAAATTTTTGTGCAAAAATTCCACGCACGCATAAGAAAGGCTGCTATAGAAAAAAGAATACGCCAATGAGGAGCACGGGTCCGAGTGGACCTTGAGCCAATGGCTTGATGCCCCCGACAATGTCATCTCACAGAAAGAACAGCTGAACTATATGCTCTCAGTCGACGGTCAATTCACAGGTCCTCCGTTGCACAACACAACAACCACCAAAACACTTCCAAATCTGGAGAAGAACTGGAAGCACGGAACCCTATGCGAATGCTGTGGAGATAAAGGGCACAAATGGACCACCTGCCCGCAAATACCCACAGCAATACAAAAGAAAACGTTTCTTCTTGATTCCAGCAGGTGCCTAAACTGCGGATCTACTAATCACAGAGTAGCGTCATGCTCGAGCGGCAACTGTAGAAAATGTCATAGAAGGCACCACACTGCAGTATGCATGGAAAGCACACCACAAGAACCAAAGAGTGGCGACAAATCAACATGCAGTGACTAGTTCTACGAAGAAAGAGATTGCACAGGACACTTCTCCCACTGATGAAGGAGCTTCGAAAATTTTTGAACCAGAAATTGCTACAACTACGGTTAAAGCAGAGACATGCTGCTGTTTCTTTGCACCTTGAAGGAACGATGCACGAATTGTGGGAAGACTCTGGCCCTAAACCACAGCTCCAGGAAGCTCGAGACTTGATGCAAATCATGAATCAGCATTTCGAGACCCTTGTGCGGGAAATGGACAACGAATTCAAAACCATCCGAGAAGAAATCAAAAGGCATCATGAGAAGGCACAAGATGTGTGAACACTCACAGGAAGCATCCAGCCTTAGCAAGGACTATGCAGCCAGAGTACAAAGAGAAGAGAGGACATGTCAAGAATCGCAGACCTCGGAAAATATCCCTTACGATTTCGCAAAGAAAGTCAAACCCAGTAGCCAGCCTGCAAAAGGAAAGGATCAGTAAAGAACGGCGAAGAAACATCGCACTGATATCCGAGGAAACACAGAAACACCTCAAACCGAGTTCTTCGGATGGTCAGAGGAAACAAACATTGGCACGAAGCAAGGAGAAAGAAACCCAGAAGTGGCTCAAAAGGGAAAAACCGAAACCAGCTTTACGCTTTTTCGCTGGACACGCCGGAGCATACGAACTCCATTCGTATCAATCTACGTGCCCTTCGAGACACGGAGCAAAGCATAGCAACACGAGAGAGAGCACTTCCGACGAGAAATACGGACAGGGTCAGAGGCAAGCCCATTCACGTCCCAAGAATAGCACAGCGGATAGAATTCGGAAACTTGCACGAGAAGAGCCACAGACTACTGGTGGAGAAGTAAGTTTTCGAGCGTGAGCAAAAACTTGGAGAAACTGCAGAAAACATGGTACACAGCACACAACTCGAAAACGAAGTAGCACGGCAAAAAGGATGGTGTCAGACTACTCTTTGCGCACCGTGGCAGGGTGCGTTTTACGAGAAGATTACTCACTGCATCAAGAGAACGTTGTACTACGCGCTCGGAGTGCTAGCCATGGCTTTCTACGGACCCAGGATGACGCTCACACAAATGGAAGATGTCGAAACCTTGAAGGTGCCCACGAGAGCGGTACCAGTTACGAACGCAGGAAAAAGGAGGACCGAAGAAATTTACCAAGATCAGCGACTCTCCACGGAAGCCAAAGATATTTGCAGTGGTAACTCCCAATAAATGTGGATTGCGGCGACCGCTGAATGGAGTTGAGCCACTGGGGATGAACAATGGATAATATCCCATAGTTCAAGAGTCAAATGGCAACACTCGTTATGACGCCAACCAAGGAAAGAATCAACCAAAAAGAAGAACAGTTACGAGCAGCGACACGGTAGCCAAAGGGCACAATGGCTACCACGACTACTTCGTCATCAACGGTGATGCTTCACTCGTCTCCTGAGGTCGAAGTATACGAACTTGCGTTCGTATCGTTCTTTGGATCCTGAGGAATGCGCAATGGCAAACTTTGACCAGGGCTGAAACGTTTCACAGATTTATTTTCTTTGATGTTCTTATCAATGGATTTCCCATGCTTGCTTTAAGTGTGTTTATATCTGCTTACATATATAAGTAGTTAGTATCGTGTAGTGAACATATTCACGGTTGCATGTTGTTTTCCCTTTCTCTCATTGTATCTCACGTTATGATCATTCGTGCTTTATCTTAGTCATATTCTCTTTACAGATCTCTCACAGTAAATCACACTCCCCTCACAGAACCCCTCACAGTAACTCATAGGCTACTTGGATGGCATATATTGAACTAATACCCTTTATGTATTATTGTTGCGTTTTGTAGTTGTTAATGAGTATATTTATAATAAAAGTTTAATTACCCAAGTTTGAGGTACACGCTGTGCACGAAAGTCCCGCGTGGCACTCAAGCGATATCCACACACAGTGTAATAAGTGCAAACACCTTGGCCGGTGCTTGCTTATCGTAATTTACTCTGCAATGCGTGAGTGTGGAACTGCACATGAGCGGCAATTGGAAGAAAGAAGCGTGGAAGATGGAAAGCGTGGGCGGGTGCACTTAAACTAGTAAGAATTTAGTGATTTTGCGCCTCTATGACAAAAACGACAGCGGCGGCTACTGTGGGCTTTTGCGGGCTGCCGTCGGCGGCTACGGGCCGCCGGCGACTGCTACGGGCTGCCAGCGACTGCTACGGGCCAGCGGCTGCTACCGGCTGCCAGTGGCTGCTACGGGCTGCTAGCGGCGGCTGCCGGCGCGATATAAAGGCACCCTAAGCTGAAGACCCCGCTATTGTACTGCGTCATAATATTACGCTCCCACATCTTTGATGGACGCCACCCTTAAGATCAAAATCTGTGCTCAAGCTCGAAATTCTCCTTTAAGAAGACATACCTTAATCCTTCGGTCACCCGCTCCCGTATCTCCTCCTCGGATAGCAACTCAGCTGGAAACAACACAAAGGGATTACGAGAAATTTTGATCAGAAGTACAGGTGCTTACGCTTTATTTCAACCGACAGCTTTCCACTCTTCTCTGATGCCAATTTTCTGGCCTGTGCAGCCACCTCTTTCCTTTCCTAAATCAAACAACAATAGCTATAATTTTGACGTTCGTGTGCAAAAGGGAAGCACTTTCGCACCAACAATTGTCCAACCGCCAGCGGTACAGTAACGCATTTTGCAGTCATTAAAGAAGAAATGTACATCATGTTTTGTCACTTTGTGGTCCTGCAAGCATGAGAATGGTGATATGATCAATCATACTTATGATATTGCGTTAACTACAAATAAGTAGAAAATAGATGAGTAAGAAGGGTTTGGGGCGTGGGTCATGAGGAACGATAGCAACAACTTGCCGCTATTGATAAACGCTTGGTGATGCACTAATGTCTCAAAAGCGCATCTTCTTCTTTTTCTTCCTCTTTTCCAAAAACATGCAATGTGCGGCAACCCCTTTTCTTGTATAGTCTGGCACCTAATTGAGTTCTGCGACGGACATTGGGCGTGAGTACGGCCATTGCGCAGCGCACGTCCGATGTCCGTCGCAGAAACCAGTTAGGTGCCAGACTTACCCTGTTCAACAGGTTCATTCGGTTCACCCCCTCTGCTATTGGCCATTCATTGATTTGCACGTGCGTATGCACGTCGTGAGAGTTTGCGTATGCACGTCCAACTCTCACGAACATGCAGGCCCCTATACAGCTGCAGCTGTACCAAATTTCAAGTGAAAAGTAAGGGGTTGCCGCAGCTGGCGCTTTTCTCTTTTCATTCTTGAATTTACTTCCAATTTCAGTGCTTTCACTTGCTTTCAGTTCATTCAAACTCGTATTTCATCACTACTGTTTTGCTATAAGAATCACATGCAGAGTTGAGCAAGAGGTCAGGCACAAGTCTTTCGAAAACGACACACATCCCTTTCCCTCAGAAAGCCCCAAACGACCCCCTTCTTCCCCCTTTTCACCTCCGGGACCTCAGAGAGCGACATTCTGGAGGACACCATCCTTTTCTAAAGAGTTTTTGGATTAGTGATCTGTACGCCCGATTTTCTATGACTGCACTTTACAATCGCAGGTAATTTGACGGTTGATTTTGATCTGAATAGGTCTATTACAAGCATCATAATTTCTTTAAAGATGGGGTGTTTGGCTCCAAATTTTCGCTGTAGCAAGAAGGAGCCATGAGGCTCAACATTCATGTCAGGGATGGAGCGATTTTTAGATTTTGAAGGCAGGTTAAGGGGGTCAGGCGCAAGGCTACAAAAGCTCAGGCAACCTGAGCTTTTGTAGCCTTGCGCCTGACCCGGCTAACTTTATCATCGAAAAACCTTTTCCACCCTAGCTTTTGTGATTCGCTAGCACAAACCTCGAAGATTCCACAGTAGATGTTTGAGCTTACTTAGACTTGTTCCGGCTTTGTGGTGATCGGTGGAGTAGAAGCCTTAAGGTGGAGAATGCGGTGATTGGAATTTTGGCAGCACTTCTTCACCCACTTTTCAAAGTGATAGGAGATCTAATTTATACCATAGACTGACAAAGAGCATTACTTCGTTTTGAGCACAAAAAACAGACTTCTTACTTCTGTGACCAAGTTAATCATGTTTGAAAATCACGCCTCTTAGACGTTAAGAAACACTAAAAAATGTAATAGGTGGTGGTTTGTAGAGCTCGCACAGATAATTTGCCATGCTGATTACGGAAATCTCACCCACTTTACGCAGCCTCTTTGGTTAGCTTACCATTAGCAGAAACTTGTTAGTGAAGTTAACCAATGTGCAATTAACGACATTCATTTCCTCTCCGGTGAAATGATATTCACTGGTCTAGCGCTCTTCTTCTTCACCTCACTTAATCGTAGCATACCCTCCATTTTGTGAACAAATTCGTCTTATTTACGACCCCCTCCCCTCAGTCTTACCCCCAGTACGACCCCCCCCCCCCCAGGTCGGGCACGCCTGACCCCAAGCTCAACCCTGATCATACGTTATGCTGGTATTATATTTCGAATGCAGTATCGTTTATTTGAATTTTTCATTTGTTTGTTGATAAAGGTTTAATTACCCAAGTTTAAAGTAATCCGCATGTGCACCACTCCAACAATCTAAAGACCGCGTGGCAACAACGCGTTGAGTGCACTGATCTCAATTCATTATACTCTATAAAAATAAGTAGAGTTCAACGAATAGTTTACGCAGTGAGTTTTACTCTCGTTCAATGATGAGTGGAATACAGTGATGTAGAAATTTAAAGGCAGCGTCCAGGCAATCAGGACACATGGGGATCCTAAGTGAATAGTAACTTTGGGGCCCCAACTAAGCTACTGCCTGACCGGCAGCTCAGGTAGTGCCCTAACGGCTGAGATAACCCCCTCGAAACTGGACCCGTATTTCACATGGATTCATGGCGCAACCCGTCAGTTTCGCGTGGGTCCTCGCGCGAAACTGATGAATCCATGCGAAATACGATCCTGGGGTCCAGTACAAAGGCGTATATCTCAGCCATCAGCTATATCGTGCTTTGGTTAGGGCCCCAAAATTACTTTCCACGTGAAATCTCCACAGGTCCAGATTTGCCTGGACGCTGCCTTTATGATACTGAATGTTTCACATCTGAGACCCTTTTTTGATAACCTCAACCAATTTCAACCGTGCGAGGACAAAACGGCTGTCTTTTGCCTGCAGGCGCCAAACTCATCCGTCTTCAATCATTTGTTGACTGGTCAAATTCATGATTTAACCAATGTGTAACGTTGAGCAGGTCACCTCCATTGCAGTGTCGACTACACCAGCGGCTCGTTTCCCGCGTGGAGGCCTCGGTACGGCTTGCATCGCGTTCGCGAACGTGCTCTCTGACCATTTTCCCACGCCTAACTAACAACTGTAACTCAATTCTAAGACGCTTCCGGTGTGGAAGAATCATGGACCATGACCGATTCGCGGACGCGGCAGTGCGGGACAGAGCTGCCAGCACTGCAACTGAGATAGCCTGTGCATGAGGTGTGGTAGCTAAGCTTACACCAAAAAAAGTCGCGCATTCCTGTATTCGCTTTAGTAAGGCGCTATTGACGACGAACGAAGTGGAACGCTCCAATCTAGGCTTCTTCGGAACACTGTTATTTGTCTCACACAGCCAGAAGGCCTAAAAAAAGATTCACGGTGCTACGTGTAAAGAGTACAGCATCAAAAACATACGGCCTGGATGTAATGCTTTCTGCACGAGTACCTCTCCTTCAAGTCCTCATCTTTGAGTATCATTTTTGCCACTTCCAAACGTAAACCATATCCCATCGCAAGGCAGCAAAGAAATGCAACAGTCCCTCTTGGTAACTTTGCTATTGATCGACATTCTGCTGCTTTGACATGTTTCCCACAGATTAAACATAGGCACCAACTGGAAACTCAACATTCCGATATTGAGGTGAGGCCCAAAAAACCTCCTCGCTTACTCCGTCGGCATCCTTAAACTTCAATGCTTCAAGCTTTCTTCATGGCGAGCATGTATCAAAACCTGCAACAACAACAAAACTTGTGACTAGGTCTGTATAAGCAAGTCGATAGTAAGGCTCTGTCCACAGCTGCCTATGCCTGCGCCGTTCCAGCACGGTGCTGATGCCGTGCCCGAACGCCAATCGATCGATACGGGGTGCGTGCACGTGCGTAACGACACGGCGCTAGCATGGCGCTGGAACGACGGTGACACAGCAGAAGTGAATGTACATCTTACAAAGCATCTTCTTCACAAATACAACAAGCAGACTTTACCATTAGAAACTAAATAATCATTTATCTGTAAAGTTTTATTCAGAGTACATCCAACATTTGCAAATTATGAAACTATGAAACAAGACTGCAACAATTCATAACACTCGATAACTGGCAACAGCTATTACAGACTGGGAGATCAACATTTCACAATCTCACCTTTGTTAGCGATACAAAGATCCCAACGCCATTTTAATTCATTTATGGCATCAGCAAAGAACGTCGGAGGTCTTGTACAGATAAAGCTTTTAAGGTCTCCTTTCAAGGTAAAAAGGGATCTATAATTTTTGTTTCGAAGGTACTGGAAAAGCTGTTCAAAAAAGTAGTAATGCGAAGGCAGGAGATCCTTGGAGTTTGGAGGATAAGGAAGGATTTCAATATTGTAGTCATGTAATTTTGCAATCACTTCGCTATCGAAGTAACTTCGCGGTTCATCACATAGAAGAATCGGTCCAAACTCTCCCATATTGCTAAATCGACGGGACTTGACCACTTGGTTCAGCTGGAACTGGAAGAGAGTAGATGTCATCCTTCGTGGACGGGGAGGAATCTTTCCATCTTCTTGCGAGATAGCCTGGTACAGTATACCAGCGGATGACCACCATATTGTATACAGAATACTAGGTCCGGGAAGGTTCTCAGAGTGCTTTGACAGTAAACGTTTCCTACTGTCAAAGTAGATTCGCTTTGATGCATAAGTGATAAGTCCAGAGAGAAACGGCGCCCTTCGATTCCTTATGGATAGCGAGGAGATTATCTCAAAACGAGTTCGCTTTTCATTCAAATCAGTAGGTGATTCGTATTGAACAACACGCGGCTCCACGAGATGAATATTGGTGTCCTTCAGTAACTCGGTAGCGTCCAAATCTTCAGTGTGCTTTCTTTTTGGCGCTCTGATGCTTTGTAAAGTTGTCGCTGAGACCGCGATTGTTTCATGTCTATTGTATCTTGTACCTGAAGGAGGTCTGAAATGGAAAAAATTCCTTCTGCCACCTCAAAACCGACACAAATCTTACGCGAATATTTGTGGTGTTGGTTGGGGCCAAGGCACAGTTGTTTTACCTTTTGACACACTATCGACTACTTCTTCGATCCTGAAAAAAGCGTTTCTAATAATTCCAATGCAACGGCGGATTTTTGCCAAAATCGTCAGAACAAGTATACTGCCTAAAGGTCACCTCCTAAACTAGAAACGAGTACAAAAGAGTTGAAATTAGAAAGTGACTTGGTGGCTCGCGTTCTCAGAGGCATTAAGATATCGAATCCAGTTACCAAATTCAATTGCCAAGTTCACAAGACTTAGTATTAATTTTTCAGTCCCATTACATCCACACTGATTTTACAAATGAGAATTCGGTAATCCTAATAGTTTGCTGTACCAAACATGCCATTGGCAGTGATGTTTTTTTCCTATTCTATATTATGGTTATCATAACCGAGTAATTCCTAAGTGACCAAAAATGTAGCCGAAGGTAAGGGTTTATAAAAATGTACACGGCATCTTATCTTCCACTAAAAGGAAATCTAGAAGTGCTATTGAGTACATGATTGCAGCTACCTAGATAAACCATCCGATTTCTCCGTCTTCGCTTGAGTAAGATCTTCAAATTCCGCAACAGGACACTTTTCTGGAACAAAGTACAACTGTGGGTGTGCCAATTTCTACGAAAATAGCCTAAGCAAAGCAGAGAAACTGGCGCACCTTCTTCGCCATCTTCAGCAATATCCTCTGTGTGGAGTAAATCCTCTGCTGACATTTCAGTGCAAAAACCATTATCATGAGAAGAATCATAGGGAATTTCGTCTTCCAAAGCCTCATCTGAGATTGGAGGTTTGTGAAAAAACTGGAGCACAGAACCTTCAACTGACCTACGGAGGTACAAGGTTCCTGTTTGACTGGTTCCGATCTGGATGTAGAAGGTTGGAGATCACAGGTTGTTAATTCTCGAGCAGATGCTAAACGAAATAGCGAGATTACAATTGTGAGCTGCACTAAGAATTGATGTAGAACCGTTCCCAAAAAGCAGCAGATACCTCTCCCCTAAGAATGAGTAGCAGAATCTTTGTAAGTCAATTACGTGAATCATGAAATTATAAAAGTGACTTGTGTGCTTGTAAATGTGTATGATTAATTTTCAAAATTTTCCAAAAAGAGGAACTAGCTTTGTAAGGAAAGTTTTCCTTGATCGATCTAGGGAAGCATCTCGTTACCTATAACAAAAAAAAAGGAAAATATATATAATGTCATAGGATCGCAAAAAATCTTTTTGAGAGCTTAGCTAGTATCATCTCACTCGATAAAAATTCTGTCACTCCCCCCTCCCCCCACTCCGCCCCAAAGAGATGTTTCGAAGCTTTTCTGTAAATTAGGTTGTCCGAAAGTCTGTCGTTTCACTTTCAAATTTGTAATTTTTCGCTGTCTCAACGTATTTGCTTTCTTTTTTTTTATTGCAGATGAAATCTTCCAGTTTGTGAGCATATCTTGATGAGCTTTTATTACTCATTACAGAGATAAAGATAAAGAAAATCTCAAGCTTTGATGATTTGGATTTTGTTTGCCAAAATCTGGAACATTGCGGGGAAAGCAAACATCAGCACATAAGCTTCTATGACTTATTCTCTGCAGCTGAGAAAAATTTTTATTGTTTGGAGGGCTCTGTGAAAAGTTAAGATTTTGATAAAAGTGACAAATCAATCAATTTCGGCGTTTTCTATTGTGAACTCAAAATTGATAACTTTTCACAGAGATTTCCAAACAGCAAAAACTTCATTTGCAAAGAGCAGATCATAAGACCTTTATATTGACGATTGCAATCTTTTCCGCAATGATTCAAATTTTTTCCGCCCTAATTTGAAGGACCAAAGCTCAAATGGTCTTCTTTTCCATCAAAGAAGAAAATTTCTTCTTCCTAATAAAATTACAAAAGAACGAAAAGTTATGAATTTTCAAAAATAAAACGACAGAACTTCCGGGACAACGCAATATATATGCAACATTCTCTTATATATGAATTTGCTCTAAAGCTTCGGTCCTATCAGACATTCTGATAAATGCTAATCTACAAGAGCAACCTTGAACGCGCTTTGATAGAGCAAACACAGGAGGAAAATGGGGGGTGGAGAGTCACGTTCAAGAAGGATGTAGAGATTACAAATATGTTCAATGTATTTATGGACATTATTCGTGGGCATTTGTTGCAAGATGTAAAATCTTAAAATTTGATGATCTTAAAATGATCTTGATCTCAAAGATGATCTTAAAATTTTTTTTACAAATTTCATAATTCTAATTAGTCGCTTGAAAAAATTGATAACAATGAGGATTACTCAAGTTCGGCATCCTTTTCGAGAGAATTTCCGTTATTTCAAAGAAAAATCGTTCGCAAAGTAATTGCGAAAATCTGACAGAGTACCTGATTGATCTCCATCAATTCCAAGCCTTTCATCGAAAGTCAGCGAAAAAGCAGACTTAATGTCCTCCGTCTTCGGCGTTTGTTGCTCAGACTGAGTGGGAATTTCAACGATGTCATCCTGTTCATCACTCTCCTTTCTCCTCTGTACGCTTTCGCGGTCAAACAAATGAGTTTCAATCATGGCTCCCGCTCTCCAAGTCCTTGTTTTCTTTGAGAAATAGCTCTCTCGATACCATTTGAAGAAGATAGTCAGACATGACCTCCTCAGTGGAGTATGACCTTCCTAAAGCAGCATGAGATAGTTGCCATCTGAAATCAAGTGGCTTTGCACCTACAACGAAATCATTTGAGATACCAACAAGTCGACTGAAATTCTCATCATCTAACAAATCATGGAGGCGCTGGAAGGAAATTTGAGTCAAATCTCCATATCGCTTTTCCCACATAGCTCGGAGATAAGCAGCCTATAAATGCAATCTTTGAAAATAATACAAAAAATAACCGTAGTTGTTGTCAAAATTTTAGTTTTGTCTGGCCGAATTTCAATAAAAATTTCATGACGCTGCAAAAAGTAGCAATTTCCAAATTTTCTTCGCATTTTAGGTTCTGTGCAAAATAAAAATTCCAGTATTCATATCAGTATACAACATACATATGATATATATTGTCCCAAGTACTTCAAGCACATTTGAACAAATTTTCGGAGATTTTCTGGTACAGGGCTCTCCACAGCGTGGCAAAAATTGAGAGAAAATCTACTGATTTTGAATTTTGCGTCATAAACCATTCCGCGATCAAGAATGCCAAGCCGACAACTCTAACTGGAAGCAAATGATTGGAAGACTACTCACCACCCAAAAGAAGTGCTCATTACAGATTTGCTTTTCAGGTTTCTGTCCAGATATGAATACTTCCTTTGCTTTCTCCAATGTGACTTTATCATTGGCGTGCAAACACGAAAGTAGAACAATCAGCACGCTCATAGTAAGAGGAGTCTCTTGCAAATGTTTGATTGAATTAGATTCATCGCAAAGACAGCATTGCTTGAATGCTAAGTGATGCTGACTGAAATCAGAAAAAATGTCTTGCAACAAAATCATGTGAAAACAACCGCTCCCAATGATAACACACCTTAGATCTTTGTCTAAATGTTCTTGTAATCCTTTTAGGGATGGCAGTTTCGCTAAATTCGAACATTGGCAATGAGACATGTCCAAAAAATGCTTAGAACAGATGCTTACGTTGTTTTCCTGATGTAGACTTTCCTGAGTTCGATGCTGCAGTATCATCTCCCGCTTCCTAAATGACACATGGAAGCAAAGCAAGTAAACGATATGACAAACAAGACTGCAGCGCAATACCTTACGTATTCGCTCAAAATCAACGATAGCCCCACTATCACAAAAGTGACGCATCTGGCAGTCATTGTAGAAAAGTTGTACCTCATTCTCTGTCACTGAATAATCCTGTAATTAGTGAAACTATGCAAGCGGGAATGGGTTACAGCATACATTCGTTAGCTTTACGGAGACTAGATATGGTGCTGCTTTACCAAACCGGACACTTTGCCGTACTATTTTGAAGGTACCCTCCACTTAAAGGCTCGGGAAAATCGAGAGTGGGGATTTTCACAACTACACGGCCTTCTGGACCAACTGAGTCAGGTATTGTGCTCGAAATGTTAAAAAAGTGCTTTTTTGGCGCTTTCCAACCTTGGAGGTTGCTGGAGAGGCCGAGCGAGGGGTTACCGTCAACGATATCGTATTGATTGCCTGGCCTGATCAGCCAATTACCGCCAAGATAGGTGAAGTTACAGTATCCTGCGGTCAATTGCTGGCTGTGGCGGGAATCCCTCGCCCCGCCTCTCCAGCAATCTGCAAGGCCGGTAAACTCCAAAAAAATACACTTTTTTTTGACATTTCAAGCAAGTACCTGACTCAGCTAGTCCGGAAGGCCACGTAGTTGTGAAAAGCTCCCAGTCGCAACTTTCCCGAGCTACTGCCTTTGAATCCAAATGTAAGGCGATGACTCTGATAGATTACAGTAGCATGCACGCTGAGTAATCGCAAAATTTGCAAGAGGTTTAAAGTGCAAAAGTCGCTCCAGCACGAAGGTTTTGCTGGGATCGCCGCCCCATCAACCAAACTGAGCAACAACTTAATCTTAGACTTCGCTGCTGTTATGCATCACAGTTTCACCACTCTCGTATATGGATAAACGGTTCCCCTAATCACAGATCTTACAAATTGCGATCTGCAAGATGAAAAATAGGATAGCCACCCACCCCAAATAATGTTGCGCATTCTTGTATTCGCATGACTATGGCGTTCTTGATGAAGAGGGGAAGAACACCAAATGTATCCGGTGGAGGCTCGGAATCGTGGAGTGCATGTTTAACAGTCTCGTACAGCCAGAAACTCTGCAGTTGAAGTGATAAAGTGTACAGTAACAAAGTCAAACGAAGCAGACTTACGGCCTGTACAAAATGCCTTCTACACGAGCGTCTAGTCAACGAACCCTCCTCAAGCACCAATTTCGCCACTTTCATAGGCAAAGCATATCCCATTAAGAGACAGGACACGAGTATAACACCTCTATTCGAAGCCTTCGATATGAAGCGACTTTCAGCTAGTAAGATGCTTTTGCCGCAAATCAAACAAACGCAACTAAAGTAAACTAGGAGGATTTTGTAATAGATGCTAGCGTTTGAGACATACCATGAGTCCTCCTCGTGCCCTTCCTTTTTCGCAGGCGGTTTAGGTTTCTGTTCTGAAAACTCATGATCATTTCGCAAGCACAGATAGGAACACTTTGCTTTTTGCTCTCTGTACCAAAACCATGGCAATATTTGAATAGGCACTGCCTTTGAGTAGTGACCCTTAACCTTCACTCCCTCCCCCTCCCCCGAGAATGGGTCGCGAAATTTTTGAAAAATATACTTACATGGGTTATAAAAATGTGCAAATGACTTGTTCATTCTTGCAATTGATTAACATTTTTTTGAAATTTTGCAAAAGTTCAAATTAGCCTTGTAGAAGAATTTTGCGTGGCTGCCGAGACGCCTCCTTTTTCTACAATTTTAGGAGTTATGAGTCCGCGAAAATTCTGAGAAGCACCTCAAAAATTTTTAGCGCTGCTTAGCGAGTGCTTCAAGCAAAAAATTTTTATTGCAGCCTCCCCCCCCCCTGCTGGAAATTCTGGGACCGCCTGCGTCCAGCTAAATTGAGGGTAATGAGAATTTGATGTCGTATAATGGAGAGGCTCCTGACTAACCTATCGCTTAAGCCTCGCGGCAAAAGATGAATTCCGAAGAGAGAAAACCGCCTTCAGAAGGTAAAGGCACCACGTTGGCTCCGCCCATTAACTTGTGTGGTATTAAAGGCAGCGTCCAGGCAGATCTGGCTGGACCTATGGGGATTTTACGTGGAAAGTACTTTTGGGGCCCTAACTAAGGCACTGCCCAAGCCGCAGCGCTGGTAGTGCTCTAACGGCTGAGGTATGCCCCTCGAAACTGGACCCAATCGTATTCCGCATGGATTCATAGCAGTTTCGCGCCACGATCCACGCTTTGCGTCATAAATCCATGCGGAATACGATCGCGGGGTCCAGTTTCAAGGGGAATATCTCAGCCGTTAGAGCACCACCTGCGCTGCCGCGTGGGCAGTGCCTTAGTTAGGGCCCCAAAGTACTTTCCATGTGAAATTCCCATAGGTCCAGATCTGCGCGGACGCTGCCTTTAAAGGCACTAAGACACTTTTTGATGAAGAGAGTTTTGCGATCTTTTGTTCTAAGTCAAGAACGCAAAACATTCGAGGACTTTGATTTGAAAAACAAATATTGTGCGCTTGACACATTGATAGTCTATCTTACTTATTTGAGATTCCCGTTCGCATCTCAATACATTTCATGTATGAACGCATGTCAGAAACAAAAGACTGCGGTACTGTCTGTCATTCTGTCGAATGAACTAACAGAACACTTCAGAATGCTTTTCGCCTATGAACCATTCTACAAAAGCAAAAGCTTTAAGAACAAGCATGCATTAACTTATCCGAATCATATTATTCCAGCATCATCAAAAAATTCTTTCTGTACGATATACTTCGCGATACGAAATGTGGCATAGATCTTGGATAAGTACCAATACTTTTAGAACCGCGATGGTCACATCGCTTTCAGTGTATGCAAAAAAACACATTCGTTGGCATACAGATGATTGCAGTTACACTGCAATGCAACAAGCAAAGAATCTTTCGATACACGGCAAAACTATATGCAAAAAATTACCTAAGCAGCGAACTATGTGCAAAAACCGCAAGTCCACTGTGTTTAGTGTGCTCCGAGAGCATAAACCGTGCGCGCCGACTAGATCCGCACCGGGTCAAGGGGCGCGCTTTGCGCACCCATGTGTAGATTTAAGTACGTGTACAGTCTGATATTCAAAAGTGGTTGGAGATAGCAATTCACTGCATCTGACCAAATCTGATGAAGCATTACTTTATAAGAAACAGCGCTCTGAGTTTCTCCAGAACTTTTTCCAAAAGGGCGGATTGATTATCTGTGCCTGCGATTCCGCAGATAATTTTTCGAATACAGACCTCGAAGAGAAACTCGAGCATACATTTACTATGAAATTTAATAAAGGGAAACTGCTTAGCGATTGTGACCTTTTGAAGTAAGATGTAAACCATTAAACATGTCTTAGAACGCTGATTCCTAATGGTATGCAGCTTTTTGGAATTGCCACTTCGATTTCTGACCGTTCCCTTATTAGTTAAATCCCCGAAATCAGTTTCCAAGTGCACCACGTGTCCGATTTGTCTTGACGATGTCTTTGAGCGACTACAATCGGTTAGAAAATCTCCCTTTTCTTGATTCAGAGAGATGAGAATTTAGCAGAAACGTAACGCAAACTTGGAAATAGCGTTCCAAAACGAGTGTGATGGTATACATACTCCTCACGAACACCAGGTATAGTAGACGTCATCCGTCTAGTCACCCCGATGCGGTGTGTGTTACTGCACACAAATTTGAAATCCCGGATGAGGTGCTGGGGTCCCGCCGGCCGTACTTGCACCAAGTGCACATACGGCTAGATTTTGACGCCAAACTGCCTGTTTCACTCATTTTAATGCTTTTTCTTTTGTTTTTTGCTTCACGCACGGTCCGATTTTCGCTGGTTTGTCACCTTTATACGTCTTGCGTGCTGTTTCAGATCGAACAGTTTGAAATTTATCACTTTTGCTTACAGTTAAAAGAGGCAGATGGGCAATCTTGCAGGATTTTGAAGCAAGTCTACTTTCTTTAATATTGTCGTATGTAGAAAGCTTGGAATATCTTTTAGGCAGTACCAGTTTCTACTTCCTTTCCATTGATATCGAAAATTCTGGTTTTTTTATGCCAGTGCAATCCTGTGCTTGACTTAAAAACAGCTTCTTATTGAAAACTCGGCAAAAAACCAGGATTTTCGATATCAATGAGAAGGAAGTTGAAACTTGTACTGCCTAAAAAATAATCTACGCTGAGAAAGGCAGACTTACTCAAAAATCCTGCAAGGTTGCCCATCTGCCTCCTTTACCTGGAAACAAAAGTGATAAATTTCGAACCACTCGTTCTGAAACAGCACGCACGACGTATAAAGGTGACAAATCATCGAAAATCGGACGCTGCGTGAAGCTAAAAACAAAAGAAAAAGCATTAAAATAAGTGAAACAGGCAATTTGGCGTCAAAATCTAGCCGTATGTGCACTTGGTGCAAGTACGGCACGGCGGGACCCCAGCACCTCATCCTGAATTTCAAATTTGTGTGCAGTAACACACACCGCACCGAGGTGACTAGGCGGATGACGCCTACTATAACTATTCCTTATAAGCTATTCTATCATTTAGGTGCGCGAACTCCTAGAAGGGTCTCAGTGAGCACCAGCCAAAATAAGTCTCGACGAATTAAATATGCAAATAATCAAGAACGTACTTTTGTTTCATTACGCCTCAAACATGAGCGATATTCGATCTCTGTCGTAGAAGACGAAGTGAAAAACTCACTTTGTTTTTTCACGGCCCTTTCCGATGTACTGGGGTTGGAAGCAGACTAAAAACATCAGTTTATCAATGCCACTTCTGAACGAACGTTAAAAAGTCCTAGTGAACCACGCGACCTTGTGTGCTGCATGCCGGGGAGCATGAGATTCGCGTTCTGCATTTCAATTCGTGCGCCTAGGCAATGTGCTCCCAGCTTTCGACTAACAAACAGTGCAGACAAACCATTTCTAAAGCTCTAATGGTATACTCAAAAGTATCCTTTATCCTTTCTAGAATCCCTCCCCCCGCTCCCCAGGGTAGGTAGCCAAGATCCTTACTCTTTCTTGCTTTCTACCTTACTACCTCAGAATTCCTACGAAAGATTCTCTCCCGTGAGTTGCCTGGCCAATGTACCAAAGTTCCCTTTCTAAATGAAAAAGCTGTTCTACCTCTTCTATCTATAAAGCTGCTGTAGCCAATGCATGCAAAAGTATCAAATCCAAGTGGTTCCTTGGGGGAGGGGGGGGGGGGGCAGGCGTCATGGAGCACGTCATGGAGAAAGCTACGCCGCGTTCCTGCGGTATATCCTGAGGGCCATTTGCGTTGCGTCGCTCTTAATTGCGCAGGAGTAGCGAGCCATTCCCTATTATTACGACCTGATATGTCGAAACTGTATAGATGCAATTAGGAAAACAAGGAAGACGGCAATTTAGAAAATCAAAAAATAAATGGATTCTAGGGATGAATGAAGGGCTGAATCCGAGATGATTCAATGCTTGATTTGAGCTAAAAATGTTCAAGAGAAGTGGAACACGAGACTTAGTAGAGAAAAAGGATAGAAATTTCCGTCGTGAGTTTCCAAGAGAAAATAACTCACTCATCAATTACTTTCTTTTGGCTTGCTTGCAGACTTTTCCTCCTCATACTCTATATTTGATTCGCCCTTGAAATGCATTTATCATTCACATTTTGATCTCTTTATCTATGGAGAGTGAGGAAAATGGCTCAATTGGCTCGGTAGCGCTAGCTCCTGTGCGACTGCAATTAGGAGCAACGCACCGCAAAGGGTCCTCAGGATATACCACAAGCATATGCGGCTAGCTTTGTTCCATAACGCGGCGCCGCCTGGTCCCTTTAGGGTTGTTTCATACTTTTCATACTGCCGCACTGACTGCGCAGACTACTGCAGCTGACTGCACTGACCGCAGCAGACTGCAGCAGTCTGCAACTGAGCGTACTGACCACAACGACCGCACAGATCGCTGCATCGTTTCGTAGAAGAGAAGACAATTGCAATTAAGTCAAAACACCGTGATTTACGCCTAGGAAGTTCACAGGTTTCAACTAACTCTTCTCGATCAAATTTTAACAATTGTTTTTCTTTGGTATGCTCATATTTGTTCTGATTCTTCCCGTTATTGCATATTCTGTTACTCTCGCTCGTATTGTCTTTTGGATCTAGGCAAATATTGTAGCTGATTGTTTGGGCTACAAGTATTTATCCTCTCCACCTTTACGAAAAGAAGAGCGATCTGTGCGGCCCTTGCGGTCAGTGCGGTCATGCAGTCTGCTGCAGTCTGCTGCGGTCAGTGCGGCAGTCTAAAATAACCCTTATTGCCAATGTGCCCAAAATCCCCCCACCCCCTCAGAATTAACCTCCTAGGCCTCGGACATACTAGACGCGATTTCAATTGGGGCGCGATTTTGCAGTATTCCAATTGTTTGTACCCTAAAATCTCGCAGATATCCGCCATCAGACAAGTCCGCCATCAGATAAGTCCGCTTTTTTGACAAGGAGATCGATGAAAATGCACTCTCGCGCCGCCAAGAATTTACAGATAAGTCCGCCTACAGATAAGTCGCCTGCAGATAAGTCCGCCATCAGAAGTCCGCTTCTTTTCTCAGATCAAAAACAAAAGGGTGCGCAATTGCGCTCCCTTTTTGGTCTCAAAATGGATCAAAGCAACAGATCTTTATTCAGTTTTCATTCCATGTTCATCATCATCAAAAACGTGGCTGACGACGGCTCCTCGTCTAACGACTAAGTTCTTTCTCTTCATGAATAATTTGCACCACGACGCCGACGCCTTGAAATCTTGTCGGCCAGATTCCTGTGCTAGCTGCAACGCTCTTGCTCGAATGTCCTTGACAAGCACTGCTCTGCTTGCCTCTTGCCTCTGCACAATCCACGAATAGACAGCTTCGTCGATCTCCTCCATTTTCCGCTTTCCAAACCGGTTGGCACGCTTCCTCAGTGGCACATCCTCCAAATTTTCCTTGCCGGCCTTCCATCTTCGAATCACACGTTCAGAGACTTCGCAATGAACAGCTGCAGCTGAAGTTCCATGTTCCAAGGCATACTGTACCGCGTTAAGCTTGAAAATCGTGGTATAGGACTTCCTTCTGGTAGCCATTGAAATCCGAGACACCTGAACAGCTTGAGTTACCATGTGAGACTATACTGAAAATATAGGGCTCTGTGTGATTGCAAACTTCGCTGAGTTTGCGGTCATTGCACATTTGAAATCACACAGAGTCCTATAAATTTGCGCTGATTATCTCGAAAGGTCCACTCTTACAAAAAAAGCAGGCGGCACCGAATTGGTCTGCTCTATCTTTTGACTTGGAGGCTTACAAGCTTGAAGGCAGTGGATCAGCAGAATGGACCCCTGTCAGATTCTGGTACTGTTATGTAGTAGGCCTTGCAATTACACCGTAGCCCCAACCTCACCCTCCACATCATGCGCTAAGTTTTGAAAAGAAGCTTCATACTTCCACTAATAACGCCCACTCAATGGAAGTGAGAGGGGCTGGTGGAGATTTGAACCTTCTTTTCAGAACATAGCGCATGATTTGGATGGTGGAGTTAGGTCTAGAATGTATTCGGGTGGTCTACTACCTAATAGTACCAAAATCTGACAAAGGGCAATTCTGCCGATCCACTACCTTTGATGAAAGAAGAACTGAGAAAAAGAACAAAGAAGCCTAATGCTTTGTTAGGGTTGAGCGTTTTCAGACTGTCACTCTTCCGTTCATTAAAGCATTTGACAAAAGAAGTAGTGAATAAACAAAGCATTTGACAAAAGCCGTATGGCGTGGGTCAACAGAGACTATGTTCAGACCATGTAAGCAATAGAGGAAGCAAAAAGTATAGGCAGCCAGGTTCAAAGTTGTAGCCTCTACAGGTTCGAGCGATGTACTGAGAACATTGTCGCTTTCGAAATGAGATACAAAAAAACTGATGATAAGATGAGATGATTACAATGATACAACGATGATACCTATTATGATTCTTTTCATCGGCAGAAATCGCTCAATTTCGTACAAGCACTGTCATATCTAGGAAAAAACTCACCTATCCAGCGCATGCAATGACGAATCCGAGACGATACTGTCAGCAAGTAGTCTGCACGGCTTGTCGAATCCTTTGGCTCTTTCTTTCAAGCGATATCGCGGCCGTGTTTAAATCTACGCCGGCAAGCTACGCGGGCGGTCGCGCGCGTTTGTCCTAGGAGGAGCTTGCTCATGCTCAAGGCAGGCGGACTTATCTGATGGCGGACTTGTTTGCAGGCGGACTTATCTGTTGGTGGACTTATCTGATGGCGGACTTATCTGCAAGACCTTTGGCGGCGCGATGGCGATTTTTCATCAATTTTTCGCGTCAAAAAGGCGGATTTCTGCGAGATTTTAGGGTAATCCTACATCCGGGAGAAGGAATGTGCATCGTTGAATGAACTCGTACGCGGATTTCGGACAAAGGAATATTAAACACCCGTCAGAAAAACTTTCGGAGAGAGAACTTTGGGAATCCAACATGGGATCACCAATGGGGGAGATAGAAAAGAGAAAGAGGAAGAGAGAAAGAGTGGGTACTGCGCAAACCAAAAGCTCATACTTCGAGTTTTGAAGGGGAACCTTGGGCACCCTGGCCAGAAAACCTTTTGCAAGTGAAAATTTTGGGGCTTGTACATGGGATAACAAATGGGAGAGAGAAAGGGGGAAAGAGTGGGCACTGTGCAGACCAACATCTCATACTACAGTTTTGGAGGGGGATGCGTGGACACTCTGCCCGGAAAACAGTTTAAATGAGAAGTTTGGGACTTCCACATGATTGACGAATGCGTTGAGGGAGGAAGAAAGAATGAGCACTGAGCAGACCAACAGCTCATACTTCAAGTGAAGGGAGAAAAATGGGCACCCGCCAAAAAACCGTTCAGGAGAGGGAGTTTTACGGCTTCAGTATGGCTGAAGGAGAGAAAAGGAAGAGAAGAGTGGGCACCGTGCAAACCAAAAGCTCATACTTCATTTAGGAGAAATCTTGGGCCCCATGGGCAGAAAACCGTTTGCAAGTGAAATTTTGGGGCTTTTACATAGGATAAAAATGGGAGAGAGGAAGGGGGAAAGAGTGGGCACTGTGTAGACCAACAGCTCATACCGCAGGTGAAGAAGAAAAATGGGCACCCTGGCCAAAAAAACGTTTAGGAAAGGGGTTCAATATGGAGCATCCTGAAGGAGAAAGGGAGAGGAAGAGAGAAAGAGTGGGCACCGTGCAAACCAAAATCTCATACTTCGGAAATTTTCGGGAGAGGGGGGGGGGGGAATCCGTGAGCACCGTGACCAGAAAGCCGCTCAAGAGAGGGTTTTAAGGCCTCTTTATGGATCTTAAAGGAGAGAGAGAAAGAAAAAAAGAGAAAGAGCGGACACTGTGCGAACCAAAAGCTCATACTTCAAGTTTTGGAGGGGAACCTTGTGCACCTTGGCCAGAAAACTGTTTGCGGGTGAAAATTTTGAGACTTTTACTGAAAAAACGAATCGGAGAGAGGGAGGGAGAAAGAATGGGCACCGTCCAGACCATAAGCTCATACCTTGGAATATGTTGGAGGAAACCCTGAACATCCTGGCCAAGAAACCGTTTGTGGGTGAAAATTTTGGGGCTTTCGCATGGGATTACGATGTGAGAGAGGGAGGAAGAAAGAGTGGGCACCGCGCAAAAAATTAGCTCATACTTCAGATTCGGAGGGGCACTTTGGCTAGAAAACCGTCTGGGAGAAAGATTTTGGGGCTTCATCATAGGTCCTGAAGGGGGAAGAAGAAAGGAGGGAGAAAGAGTGGGCGTGTAAACTAAATCTATTAGGTTTCGGAGAAGAAAACCCTAGTCACCCGGAAAACCCGGGGGCGAGGAAGATGAAGACCACCGAGGAATGAATTTTTGGAGGTGGGCACCCTTTAAGGCGGTTTGAGGGAATTAGATTGGATTTTGTGCTTCCACATGAATTGCCTACGCACATTGGGTAGGGGGCAATTATTGGACACCGTGAAACTTAGGGTTCCCATTTGAAAAAGGGGAAACTTTGGGTACTTTGGCAGGAAACTCATGAGAGAGTCTAGCTTATATGGGTGCTTGGGGTAACTGAATAAAGAGCGAGAAAAGTGAGGCTTGACAGAGCACCTACTTCTGCCCCGGGCACACTTCACGCGATTTCAATCGTCATGCTATCTGGCTATTTGCCAGATGCCCCAAACAGGATGCAGGCTAGCGCTGCATAGCTTGCATGACTTTTGTAATTTGGTAAAATGCCCAATTCTGTACTGTAACAGCGCGCCTACAATGAACTAACCTAAAATCCCGCAGGTAAGTCCGCCTTTTTGACACGAAAAATCGATGAAAAATCGCCCACGCACCGCCAAAAGTCTTGCAGATAAGTCCGTCATCAGATAAGTCCGCCAACAGATAAGTGCGCCTGCAAATAAGTCCGCCATCAGATAAGTCCGCCTGCCTTGAGCATGAGCAAGCGCGACGGAGCACAGACGCGCGCGACCGCCCGCGTAGCTTGCCGGTGTAGATTCAAACAAGGCCGCGATATCCCTGAAAGAAAGAGCCAAAGGATTCGACAAGCCGTGCAGACTACTTGCTGACAGTATCGTCGCGGATTCGTCATCACATACGCTGGATAGGTGAGTTCTTTTCTTAGATATGACATTTCTTGTGTGTTGAAGTTGATGACACGATAGTAAGGTCGGATTTCACCTCATTGCCAGCGATACTAGGCAAAGGAGATTTTGATATAGGCTAACTACAACACATGCATCTCTTACAAAACCTTTTTGGAACGTTGATCGTTGCGCATACTCTGTTCCACAGCAGTAATTGACAGACTACGAGGACATAAACGGTTCGTAGTTTTGCAAAAGACTACAGAGAAGTTGTTTTGGATATCACATATTTCAGCAATTCGAACAAAGCCGTGACATCGTCTGAAAGAGATTGTCTAAGGGTCTGACAAACACTGCAGACTCTTAGCCGAGAATACCGTCAAGGGATCTTCATCGCGTACGCTGAATAGGTGAGTTCCTTTCCCAGTATGACAGGGCTTGTACGAAATCGAGCGATTTCTGCCGATAAAAAGAATCATAATAGGTATCATCATTGTATCATTGTAATCATCTCATCTTATCCTCAGTTTTTTGTATATCATTTTGAAAGCGACAATGTTCTCAGTACATCGCTCGAACCTGTAGAGGCTATAACTTTGAAACTGGCTGCCTATACTTTTTGCTTCCTCTATTGTTTACATGGTCTAAACGTAGTCTCTGAAGAGAAGAAACTTAGTCGTTAGACGAGGAACCAGCATTGGTCAGGCCACGTTTTTGATGATGATGAACATGGAATGAAAACTGAATAAAGATCTGTTGCTTAGATTCATTTTGAGACCAAAAAAAGCAGCGCAACTGCGCACCCTTCTGTTTTTCATCTGAGAAAAGAAGCGCACTTCTGATGGCGGACTTATCTGCAGGCGACTTATCTGTAGGTTCTTGGCGGCGCGAGGGTGCGTTTTCATCGATTTTCCTTGTCAAAAAAGCGGACTTATCTGATGATGGACTTATCTGCGAGATTTTAGGGTAGTTTAATAACGATCTCCAGAGGCTAATGACTGGGGGGAGTACAGGGAAAGATATAAAAGGGTGCAAAAGGTTGAAGCGCACTTTTTTATGAACAAGGCCATAGCAAAGCGGAAGAAACGAAGCTCGGACTTGACCGATAACTACTTAACGGACCCAACAATTAGAGCTTGCGCAGTCTTCAGAAGAATGAAGTAAAACTGAAGGTTTTCTTTTCCTTTTTAGTGCCAGCTTAATGCATGCAACTGGCATGGCTCTAGATTTTGAAATGAAAGCATGCAATTTAGTTCCAAGATTTCATAATTCTTGGCTTCTTCGTGTTCGTATAACGTATGTTCGTTAATCAGCCATCGCGGTACTGATTTTGAAATGTATTCATGTCAGAGAAGTCAATTTGAAAAAGACATTATGAGTTTATTCGAGATCAAACATTGAGGCTTTCACTTTGAGATCAAGTGATATTTTTACCTGTAAACAATTAGTTGATTCTTAAAATTTCCTACAAACTAAACCAGCTTTGGAAAAAAAGCTGCAGCTACGTCCGCGCCTCCAAAAATGGTTAATTCACTGATAAGTTAGGAACCATCGCGCTTATGCAACGCTCTTCAGGAAGAAAATATTTCAACCACATCTCTCGGCCGCTGCATTCTACCCCGATAGTCCATTGCTCCTATGTATACGCGGCGAGAGAACTGGAGCCTTGTATCAATTGAAAAAGTTCCCTACAGGTTTCAAAAGAGAGATAATTTGCTGACAATGAAGAATTGCGAGATATGGACGTTGCTTTCATAAACCTATCGAAGATGATCAAGAACGGACTCTCAGAGAGAAAAAAAACTGCTCGGCACTCTTACCTCCTCTTCTACTTCATATCCCTGATCTGCATAGTCATTTTGGCAGTTCCAATAAAATTGAGATAGATCACTTCCACTTATCTCCACTTCCGCCTATAACCGCAAACATTCATCTATATACTACATGTATGTACTATCAGCACATAATAGCCTACATCAAGTAGTGTTGTGATTTTCCTGATGCGCTGCAACAAGCCAGTCTTAGCACCAGACGCAAGCGCGAGATCATGCACAGATGTTTGCCCAGCGGTTTCACGGACTTCATGTGCAATGTGTAGAAACTGAAATCGACATAGCGTGTCAAGATACAACCTTTGCAAGACTTACCGCGGTTGAAAAATGCCGTCTACAATAGTATGAGTTTACAGCGTGGTTTTCTTTGTAGATTCGAAAGGCCACATCATCAGCTATCTCGCTGCCCAACAGTAATCCAGAAAGGAAAACGAGTAGCTGTTCTTGGCTGTTCACTTCTCGTAAGTCTTCGACGGAAGGAGAAGCTAGACAAAGAGCACAGCTTCTGCCTTTAGCTGAATCCGTAGGCTCCTCTGAAAATTAGAATAGTTCATGTACTGTAATCCGGACATGTAAATGGGACTTGATACCTCTTCTACAAAAAAACATCCTTACTATAATTTGAAAATAACAAAAAACACAATACCCAACACAGGCATTAAAAAATAAAGAAATATCAAACTAATTCTTAAAAACCATTTATGAAAAGGGCACACAAAGTTATTGCAATATATTTATTATAATTAATAAAAGGCTTTACATTATAAGTAATTGCAACATGTTTTGATCCCACATCTTATATATGAAGCTGAATGTTTGTCTGTCTGTCTGTGTATACGTATGTGCGAAATAGAAATTTTTATTTCTGAACCGATTTGGACCAAACTTCGCACACATACATTTCGGGGCAGAGCGTTTCATAGGCTACTTTTCGCTATCGATCGATATTGATTTTATCGATTTTTATGGATTTTTTGCAGAGTTCACCTACGGAGCTGGGAGTTGGCACCGGGGGTAATCGAACATGCTAATTCCGAATACAATATTAGTTTTCAGAATTATCGAATACTTTTATCGATTTTTGACAAAGTTCAAGCTACAGGGCTGGGAGTTGGCACAGGGGAGTAAATGAGCATGGCGATTCCGAATACAATATTATTTCCCAGAATTATTCACTACTTTTATCGATTTTATCGACTTTTTTTCAAAATTTGAGCTGAATGGTTGAAAGCTGGCACAGGGGGGTAATCGAGTATGCTGATTTCGAAAGCAACACAGGGACGAGAAATGAAGCGAAGAAGTGGGCATAGGGAAAGCCTGTACAGGGATAGCGATGGGACCTTTATCACAGTGTTTTCACAGGGCCGAGCGGAGCCGGGTAAGCAAGCTAGTTTCTAGTAAAAATTAGACAAAATATAAAATAAATTACTCTTACAATTAGTATACTTTGCAAATTTGTATTCAATGGTATTAAAAACAAAACAGAACATCAACTATAACAATATCAAAGTTGAACATATTCATAATATACTAAACGAAATTAATCTCAGTGAAAGTATCAATATTACAGGGTGGGGCAAAAGGAGCCTCGTACTTTTTTCAGATAGAATCAGAAGGAAAGTACTTAGAAATAAAAAATTCGGTGCACATATAAATCGAACTATTACAAATACAACACTGCTCTCAGATTTTGAGATTGCTTCTTCTGGCTTCAAAGCAGCCTTCAAAATCTTGGCGAGTTAGTATGATAGAGCAAGCTTTTGGCTACAACGCACTGCGAGGAAAATTTCTTTGTAGTCCTTAGGAAAAAAATTTTGAAATTTTTAGTAGAGGCAAATGCACTCGCATATTGGAAATCTCGATGCGATTGCGCGAGGAGCGAAAAACCATAATCTGGAAAGTATTGAAATTGCTCAATCGATCGATTTTAAGTAGATGATTGCATAAAATCCTTATGGAAAGAATATAGCCTAAAATTCAGAGTCTGCTGCGCTCCTATAGCCTTCAAATTTATTTTGAAGACAAATGGCCACTGGCACGCACGTAGCATCTGCAAATTTTTATTTTGCGTTTTCAAAAGAATAGTATCTAACAAACGCAACTACTACGAGTTGATAGTGCAAGGCCTCCTCTACATTAAATGCATCGAAGTGCCCTAGAATAAACACCGTATCTTTCGCTGCGAAATAAGTTGTGAAGACCAAAACTTTCGATTTTCTCGCATTGCAGAAGCATTTGTTTGATAAATCCAATTCCATATGGCAAGCATTTCTAGCTAGCTAAAGTGTGATTTGTGAAGGATGATCGCAGCGATATGCGGCACAAATTTGGAATCAGAATCATCAGTAATTTCTTGATTTACAGCACTGCAAACTCGGCTCCCAAACTTTTGCCCCATCCTGTGTTACGTAAAAAATACTCTTAAAAATAGCAAAATCAATTAAAATCCATGCAGACTTGTATATAGATAAATCCAATTTCTCAGCAAATTCTTGATTACAATTCCATTTTTGCTAAACTTGAGAATGAATCAAATTTTTACCCAAAAAATGCAGAGAATCAGAAATAACAGAATATATTGATAATAACCATGGAATATCATTACTGGAGAATTAGGACTAATCGAAGATAAACACTCAAAATCCATAATATACAGATGTACTAAATACAGAATGCCTACCAACACTGATTAAAAAGAAATAATAGATTGGCCAGTCAACAGTTCAACTTATTATAAATACAAAGTAACTACTTGGACTTACAATAGTTAAAAACAATTATGACTAAAATTTGTAACAAAACTGATAGTTTTCATCTTCAAGTAAAGAGATCACATTATTATACGCATTACTTCTGGTGTACCCAACCACGTCAAAAACGCTACTGTTTACACAAAAACTTTAAAAATTGCATGTACTTGCACTTATCTTGACGATTTTGTCAAGAAAGTGCTGCAGTTACAAAACTTACTCATTTTGGATACAATGAAAACCTGATTTATTCAATTATTTTCAAATGTTTACAAAGGAATAATTTTATACTAAATAAATACGAATTTTGCAGCTACAATAAAACCAAATAATTATTACACATTCTACATCAAAATTTACCCAAACTATGGGTAACCAATATAAAAAACGTTTTATACCAGTATTTAATTGAGCCACTCCATACAGTCCTCATCAATATCACATATTTAATCAGTATGGTGATTTCAATACATCACAAACAACCAACTTGGTTGAATAGTTCATCAAAATGACCAATTTCATAATAAATCAATTCATTTATAAAAACACTACTATGTTTCATTTTATCCTTAGATCTACCGATATGGTCACTACTATATTGTATATATACTATTAACAGACTAGATTTAACATATAGAATTTACACAGAACTCACGGACTCTCCTTCACTACTGAGGAGTTCCGGGGAGAGCTCTGACAGGGAAAGCTTCCCAAGTCAGCTCGGCCAATCCATATGAGGCATATATCGTCGTTACGCGCTTGAAACGCTGATTCCAAATCTGTCGTTTCGAGTTGCGAAACTCCTCTGTAGATGGAGTTATGGGGATGCTTCCCTCCAAGATTGAGGCGCCTTAACATGTCCGCCGTTGTCTACGTGTGCAGAAGAGTAAGCAATGGACCTCACGATCCGTGGACCTCATTGAGAGACCACGAAGCCATTCAGTCTGTTCTACGCGAAGGAAAACGCTCAAAGACTATGAATATTCCGCTATTTACTTCTTTTTGCCTTTTAAAAGCAAATATAGAAGCAAATAATATGATACAGATTTTTTCTGCTCATCATAAAAATAGTGAAAAATTCACTCACGTAATCAGAATTTTGCACTCCACGTTTCAAAAATCCGAAAAATACAAAAAAAACTCAAAAAAAATTAAAAAATTTAGACCTCTATAATGAACAGAAAAACGTATATCTCTGTAGAATCCTGTCTTCTATGTACAGAAGCAGGGAAAAATCTCTTATACATGCTTTTAGAAGACAAAAAGAACTAAACAGCGAAATGTTCAGAATCTTTGAGCTTTTTTCTTGAGGTAGGACAGACTGAATGGCTTCGTAGTCTCTAAATGAGGTCCACGAATCATGAGGTCCATTGCATACTCTTCTGCATCGCACGTAGACAAGCGAACATGTGAAGGGCGCCTCAACCCCGGAGGGAAGTACTCCCATAACTCCTTCTACAGAGGCGTTTCGCAACTAGAAACACAGATTTGGAACCAGCGTTTCAAACCCTTCACGATGATATGCCTCATCCAAGCGGACTTAGGAACCTCTCCTGTTGAAATCTTTTACTGCGTCCAGAGGAAGGAACGAAACGGAGTGTTTGAATTTTCTTCTCTCTTACTGAAAGTTATTTCTACGAACTAAAAAATGTGCAAGTGACTTGTTCATACTTACTTTTTGAAAATTCAATTTGGCCTCAAGAAAAGATTTTTTCCAGGTACGGGTGCCTACCATGCTCCTTTTTCTGATATTTCGGAGTTAAGGGCTCGCGAGATTTTGGGAAGCATACCAAAAAACTTTTCGAAGTGCGTGGCTAACGCCGCGCACCTTCATCAAAGAAACTTTTTTGTCCCACCTCCCGGAACAAAATCCTGGGTACAGGGACACCTGCCCATTGGGAAATCAGTACGATGAAAGTCTACAGGGCTTTTCAACCTGAGAGTCGCAAGTTTCGCTTGCGCGGCTCCTCCAACGCGGCCGCCTCGCTCAGGCCGCGCGCGGCGTTGCTGCGTATCGCCCGAATTTCGTCAAGCTTCAGTCGACGCGCAACCAGCGCCACGAACGCTGCGCGGACCTAAGCGTGGCGTCCTAGCGGGGCGGGTGGGACACTCAGGTTGTAAAGCCCTGTAGCTCCGGAACTGAGCAGGATGAGACGTGCAGCAAGAATACAAGACAGCTGAAAACTAGCGAAAAAGAACAAAAACCTTCCTGCTTTACCGCCTCATAAACATGGAAATTAGGAAGCAGTATGAACATGCGGTTAACATCATCGAGCGTGGCGTTGAGAGAGTGATTTAGGAGTGATCCTACTCATGCAAGTGAGGGAAGAAGTACACAGTTCCACCTTACGTGCTCAAATCTAGGGGGTGGATCTGATCGGTCGTGAATGAATTATTTGCGTCGTTTCTTAGGCAGTGCCCTTACTTAAAGGCAACGTCCAGGCAAATCCAGACATATGGGGATCTCGCGTGGAAGTAATTTTGGGACCCCAAGTAAGACACTACCCAATCGGCAGCTCAGATGGTGTTCTAACGGCTGACATGTTGGCCTCCAAATTAGACCCCCGGATCGTATTTCGTATGGACTCATGACGCGACACATCAGTTCCGCGTGGGTCCTGCGAAAGCCTGCAAACACGTTGCAAGTCGTCCGATAAAACGATCCTAAGATCCAGTTTGGAGGCGTATATCTAGCCGTTAATGAATCAATCGCGCTGCTGCTTGTGCCGCGCCTTGAATAGGGCCCCAAAATTATTTTCCACGTAAAATCCCATAAGATCCAGATCTACCTGAACGCTGCCTTTAACGCGCCCTTAGGCCTAAGGCATAGATTTTGTCAAATCGCTGCATCCAAGCGACCTAGCAGTTTGCCAGATGTTTGAAAATCAACCGTGTGCAAGTCTAATTGCATAGCCACGTAGCTTCCGTAATTTGCAGCAAAAGCTTCAAGTCTACCTATGCAACACGCGCTTACGACCAGTTATGAAGAGTAGCTGCAGTGCCACATCGCGCAGCGACTGGAATAGCGTGAGGTATGCTTTAGGCCTTATACAAACAGCGAGTGCATGTACAGGCAATTCATCGCATGCAAAAGAAATACCATTGCGGACACATCAGGGTAGATTTGTACGTATGACAAGTTGCCTATAGTTTCTTTTTTCAGCATATTATATTATTGTAATGACGCTCGTCCTAACGCAACACATCATATCTCAAAGTCTTCTGCAACGCATCGCTCTAAATTCCGCAAATCTCTTCAGATCCGCTGCAAGACAGCGTACGGGCGGATATGAAACTGTAGCGTACGGTTCCCACCCTGATAAAGCTCTTGCCCAAGTGCATTGCACCAACTCGCTTCTGAAGCGAGAAAGCCGTTTCAGAAGTGGCGACCAGAATGCCCGGAAGGCTGCTGCATGACGAAGGCGCAGAAGCAGTATTAGTTGATCGGTCGCGAATGCGGCGTGCGCGTATTTCTACCGCTGTAAATCCTCCGCCTCATGCGCTCTGCGGCTAACAAAACCGCGTTTGCGTTTAAAGATATTGCGCCTTCGTCATGCAGCAGCCTATATGTCGCACACAGTCAAAACGTAGTGTAACATCACAATCTGCGTCTCAACCGTTTCGAGCGTGTATATTTTAACCAACAGCTTCTGGAACGCCTTCGACATTTTCAAACCAGAGGGAAGAATAAGTCCTGGTGAGCGGAGAAAATTTTGCTCAAAACTTTGCCTGGTCTCTGCCTTTGATATAGTTGCTTGCGGTGCCGAAAATGGTAAAATTGGTGGTAAAATTTGCTCGTGTACAAATTGCCGCGCCAGTAAGCGAAGCGGGTGTGCAGCGGAAGTACCCTTGCGGGAACCTCGCTGGGAAACAAGCCATAAGCAGGATTCTTGTGCCTGAGGCGCAGAGGCCCCAAGGAACACGGGCCGCAATTGTCCAGTGGTTGACTACGCTTACTTGGTTGTGAGACATCATCAATCGATGGATTGAGCAATTTCATTACTTCTAGAGCAGATACACCATCGTTCTTCGAGGTGCTAGGTTTTACATCACTTTCTTCATACACAGTTTGAGCATCTGGAATAAAGAAAATAGACTATCACCATTGAAGATACAGCTGCGAACAGCATCATAAACAAATGTTGTGTAATATCTCAATTACAAAAATCACCCGGTTTTGAATCAGCTGTCCCAATAGATGGAATGTGCATTGCCTTCCCATCTAGAAGAGCGATATCTGCAGAAGTTTTGAAATCAAGCGGATCCATTTCAGATTTGATGTGAACCACTGCAAATACACATATGCAAGTTCAGTCAAGGGTTGTAGCTTGCATATTACTGCGTCATATTTATCCATTTGAAACGAGTGCGTCACGTACCATGAGGCTTTAGATCTGACTCCGAGTCCTCCATGTCACGATACAATTTTCGCTGCTATCCAGGAAGACCAGCCGCAGATAATCCTCAACCAATTATGATACAGTACAGAAAAAGAAAAGTCATACATCTATTACACGTGATAGTAACAACAAAGTTACAGTATGCATACCAAAGCTTATATAGGCGCCGTAAAACCTAATTGCCCGCGGTGCCTTGAACACCAGCGTTAGCGAGCGGTCGTCGGCGAACGACTGTCGGCGTTCACTATATTCCAGGAAATCTTTCTTTAGCTTTCATGTTGTTCTCGTCAATGCAAGGTATATCTTGACGAAAACCCCCTTCACAAGTTTAAAAAAATATGGGGAAAGGGTGCGCGCTCATTGTCGCTCGCAAAAAGCCTGTAGCGCTTCAGGACCAAACGTTCCCAGCCGCGCCGCGCCTTAGTGTTCAAAGCGACGCGTGGGCAATTGGATTTTACGGGGCCTTACACGTACAGTCTGTTCCAATCCCAACCAGGCCAAAATTGGCATGGCGGGAGTCCGCGTCGCTAGGGTTTCGCAATCACGCCTACGTCATGCTTCTCTGCTCTCTCTTCAGTCCTTTTGCTCTCTCCGACCGCATGCATATGCAGCGCAGACCGCTAGCGCTGCGAGAGCGCAAATCTACGCCGACGGTTCGGCCTAGTCCCAGTTGGAGCAGACTGCATTAGCGACTCATCGCACGCAGAAACTAACGCCGTTGCTGAGATTGCTAGTGTTTGAATTACACAGCAGACATAGGAGAATGAAGGAGTGCTCGATCAGGGAGACGTCTTCATCTTCCACAGTGGCGTCCTGTCTGTACGCGCGATATAAGAACCAAAGGCTAATGTCCGAAGGCGCAAAGGCAACATTAACAAAGCGGATGCCGCGAACACGAATGCAAACCGTGCGTCCTATGCTTCAGCGGCTAGCGGATCCGCACTCGTCTCTTTAGGCAGGCGCCATACTTGATCCGCTTGATCCACTTCATCCACTTCACTATTGGTTAGTTCACTGAATTGACCAATGATGAAGCGGATCAAACGGATCAAGTGAATCAAGCGGATCAAGTATGGCGCGTGCCTTAGGTTCCTTAGCCAGCAGACCCAAGCTAGATAGCGCCGCAGGGGAGGACCCCCAGCTAACCTATCAGTGAAGTCTGAAGCAGGATGACGCGTCTGGGAGGCCTTAAATCCACTTTGGAAGTCTTACAAACCTCGTCCCTTCCTTCCGAACCCCGCCACTAACACGTAACTTGCAACGAGTGCCGAAGCTTATAAAAAAGCTCATTTACGCCATTTTCATGCGCTGCAAAACCCGGATATGGGTTCGGCATGGCGAGAATGCTTTGATAAGGTGAAAAGCGGAGAGCGAAATTTTGGCGGTATACTGCCCTTATTATAACCTTAGACAATGTGTACCAGGCCAGTTTACGAACCGTGATGGCGGGCATCCGCCTCGCAAGCACGGTTCGCGCCATAGCCCAACCACTGTACATCTTTTCGTGCTAGGAACCCGCGTAGCTCTCCCCATTGCTTTCGATCCCTAAGGATTCCTTCATACTACGCCGCGCACGCCGCGTACGCCGCTGCAGCACAATGGAAATATGCTCACGGCAGCAGAGCTCCACTTTTTTGATGTATCTCTATAACTGCTTATTACTAAGAGCGTCATTTCATTTCTGTACAGCTTTGACCCCAGATAGTTAGCATTGTGAACTGTGAAGTCAGCGCCGAAACTTGAATGGTGTTTTGTGAGCGAAGAAAACAAACTGCGGCAACAACGGCGCATCAAATTTGCAACTGCAGACTAACAGTATGAAGAAGAGAAATCCTTTTCATCCAGTGATGTGTTTGTAAGGAGAAGTTAACAGCGCAAATATACAACCAGATACAACATACAACCGTATATTTCCAATATACAACCAGATGACGCAATGTGCAGTCACTTAAGATACAAAATGTGAAACTCGAAAGTGGAGGGAGCACAACAACCTAGGTCATTCCATCAATCATTGATATAGACAAAGAATAGACAGGATAAACAAAGCAAAAGAGAGGAAGAAATGCATAATGTGAAGGAACTATTGAGGGACACGACTGTGCAGCAAATATAGAGCGGTTGAAGAGACTATATCGGCAACGCCTAAGTCTCGGTAGGAGACTACATACATTCACGATAGGCTCCAACCCGTGCGGACAGCGTTACAAATCCGGGTATGTCTGTAATGTGTGGGGCTGCCTACTGTGTCGCAGATATCAGCGAGGGGCCACACACTTTCGGCGACATATGGTCCTCCAACACCTAAGTCTGACTCAATCTATTGTTGAGTCGTTGACCGCAGGTTCTGGCCGTCAACGCAGAGCACACGACGCGCCGCTAGCCGCAGATGATCGGATGATAGCATCTGATGGCAGAAATGTTTGACGGAAGATAGCAAACTGAGGAAGCTCAACGCGTAAGCAATGGCCGCCATCGGGTGAAGGACATTAGGTCGCCGAATTTGGAAGAATCCGCGCGGATTCCCTGCAGGAACGCATGTCCGCGCATGCACAAGGGTGCGTATTTGTCGCAAACGACCGGCTGTCGCCGGTCTTTTGCGACAAATACGCACCCTTTCCCCACAAGCGGGGACGCCCTTTCTCCCCTTTCTCGGCGACCTAATGTCCCCCACTCGCCGCCATCTCACCACCTTACCGCCTTCACGCTCACGCCAGCATACCGCCGTTGCGATATGGCGCGAACCTTGCGTGGCAGACGCGCGTCCGCTAAAAGCAATCATATCGTGCTAGCAGAGGCGGACCGCGGAGGAGGAGGAGGGGGGGGGGCTTCCCCGAAATGGGTCGCGGAAATTTTGAAATTTGCTTACATGGGTTGTATAACTGTGCAAGAGACTTGTTTATTCTTGTTAATAATAGAAACAATTTTCAAATTTTCTCAAGAGTTCATAGCCTTGTGAGGTTACGGGCCCGCGAAATTTTGAGGTGCACCCCAAAACTTTTTCGGATGATTAAAGCTACGCACCTCCACTTGAAAAATTTTTTTGCCCCCCCCCCCTCCCCGGAAGAAAATCCTGGCGCCTCTGCGGCTAGGTATCGTCCCCCACATCCCTACTACCCTTGGCCTACGTCTCTAAACTGTGCCACGCATGGCCATTATGTTGGAACATGCAGGAACATGTTGGCGTCAAGCTGATAGCCAAAATGTTCTGCCCCAACACGTTGTTGCACGTTGCCAAAAGTTAGTCATACGTGCCGCAGGTTAGTGACGCAGATCAAGGGTAGCAGCAACTGTGGAAAGGACGAAACGCCTCATTACCTTTGATCTCCGTTTGACAAGATGTCAGCACTATGCGCTCGCAAAACTTTCAGCAAAGCCAGTGCGGATGAAGTACTTTGGCGTAGATTCGGCTGGAACAGACTGTGCTGCTCTCGCAACTTTCTGGTTGCATGTTTCATCGGTCGGTCCATACGGTCGGGCCGATACACATCTGATAGTGTGAGAAAGGGAGAACTTCATAAGTGTCTCATGATTCGGATTAAGACCGATGTACAAATGTTCGGACATAAAACAACTATAGAAAGCTCATGTGTAGGCTTTCCGGAAAGTCCAATAATACCTCATCATAAACAGGAGAAAAATAAGCACCAAATCATAGAAAAAGGTTGCTCAAGTAACTTTTCAGAAGAACAGGCATAGGAAGCGAAATGGAAGAGTGATAGCCAGCCTAACTGTCTGGGCTATCCACGAAGTTCGTGCTCTCTCGCTGCGACGCTACTGTTGTTCGGAATCTCTGCCGCGCGCGTGCTCTCTAGCCGCTTCGATAAAGTAGAGCGGCGAGAGAGCGCGTTGTACACGCAAAATAATCGAAGCAAACGAATCGCGAAGGAAGACCACTGACCCACGATTATTGTCATCTATCCATAGTTGTGAAAGACGGAATATGACCATCCATTCTGTGACTAGGAGACTCACGCTTTGCAATATACTGTCAAAACACTTGATGGCGTGGTTCAAGACAGTGTCATGGGAAAACCTTGCGCTCCGCTTTCTCACATTTCCGGAGTCTTTCCGCCTTGCTAAACCCATATCTGGACTTTGCAGGGCACCAAAATGGCGAAAATGAGTTTTTTTTGAAGCTCTCCATGTCCGCGCTCACTGCAAAATTCATGTACACGGCTTATCAAACGCAGTGTCGCTTACATCACCATCTCCACTCCCGCGCTGGACTCTACATCTTTTCTATCTGTCCTGTGTAAAAAAATTAAATGCAATAAAATCAACACCAACAGACCCCAAGGTAATAAAAAATGAATTACAAAAAAAAAACTTTAAAGTAGCACTAGTGACTGCTCTCTGATCACTTTCCCAGGGCGGGTCTGGGAAAGGCGGAGCCTCAATCGAATGGAAGTGGTAGGGCATGTTCGCGGAAGAGACGCAGAGTCAAAGCGGGAGTGGAGATGCTGATGCAAGCGACACTGCGTTTGATAAGCCCTGTAGGTGGGCGGGGTCCGGGGGTAGGGCGGGTCTGTAAGACTAATATTTTGCTCCAGACTTCACCGATAGATTAGTTGGGAGGCCTCCCACTACAATGCTTGGAAATCCCGGTATCAATCGTTTTGCCAGGACTATGCCTTTGAGGCTTGAAAAAGTACATGCTTGTGATCCATTCAGTATGATATGATACGCTATTGGAATAATGAAAGAAAACAAGTTCAAATTAGTCAAGACAATGCGTACAAAGCGATTTCGGGTCCCCTGGTCGCACACGTATCCGAACTACACATGGCTGCGCAGAGCGCGTCTTATTTTCTCCAGAAAATCAACTGCTTGACGGATGTCTTAGTCAGAGCGCGCGTATATGCGGTGCAAACCTCTAGCGAATGCGAATGCGCGATTTCCTCCAGGCGTTCGCAACGTCCCGCTTGAGCGTTCAAATCTGCCGCATCGATCGCAGTGCGCAATGTCGGCGCGCTGCGGATGCGTAGACACTACGAAAAAGGGGGCACGTGGTTGACATCGACTGTAGTTAGGTGAGCAGCCTGCAGCGGGACGGTTTTTCAGGTCTGTCGAGCCGCTGCTTTTGAGTAGGGAAATGACCTTGTCGGGTCTGATATCAGACGGGATGCTAAGGCAAAGCGATCAGCTCGCCTCAGCTTTCCATCCATTATTAAGCTTTAGTACGCTGGTACATGTCCATGATATTTACCTTGTGCTTGAGATAACAAGATTCGAAAGATATCAGTATGCCAAAGGACAACACAACATACGATGTTTATCAAATGACAATCAAATAAAACTCATGATCCAACATAATCACCATCTGCTTCAAAGCAATTCTTCCATCGCGATAATAATTTGTACAAACCCGCAGTATAAAACGTTATTGCGTTACTTAGCAGAAATCGTTCAAACGCATACTCTAACTCAGTAATATCGGCAAAAAATTGCTCCTGCAAAAAAGTGCTGAATCTTTGGAAGAAGTGGGAGTCAGTAGGTAAGAGATCAGGGGAATGAGAAGGACAAGGCAATACTTCATAGCCTAGTTCATAAAGTCTTTTAATTGTGCTAGTATTTACATAAGAGCAATCATTATCACAAAGATACACCGGAGATTTGCCATAGAGCATTGATCTTTGCTTTGAGATGAGATTTTTGTGCATCTCACTTATCTCAGCAGAGTACTTATCAGAAGTCATTACTAGACCTTCTGGAAAGATGTTATGGTAGACCACTCCAGCTGCCGTCCACCACACGATGAGTAACCTCTTTTGTAGGTTTACGTCCTCAAAATTTGGCAGGTCTTTTTTATCCACACAAACAGCTGTTCGTTTGCTGCTGTCATGTACAAGCCATCTTTCTTCAAAGATGACCAATCGATTCAAAAAAGATCCTTTGCTGTTCCTTTGGAGCAAGGCGGCACAAAACATAATTCGCTTCAATCGCTCCTCCTCTGCTAATCCGGAACTTGTTGTGGCTACGTTGCCGTTTGTTCTGAAATTACATCAAATCATGAACTAGTGGGAGAAATCCAGAGAGTACCCTGGATTAGAAAAACATACTCCAAAATGTCGTCCACTTGTTCTGATTCTTGGAAAGATTCCTGGAGTGGATCCGTACGAGAGCCTAGAAGAGAATAATGTGATCGACTAGCCTCTTCAAACATGCCTTTTCCTTACTTTTCCAAGGAACAGAAGAGAGAAATGACATCACAAAAGCTCCAGAACTTACATGAGGCTTTTGCACACTCCCATTCCTCATCATTCTGCGAAGACTGTCCCAAAAGATCTGCAGCACTGATTTCTTCAGCATGCTCTGACACGTTTTCAAACGATCTCACAGCTGAAAATCGCAGTAAAGCAGTAAAAAGCGAAGGAAGAAATGTGATTGACATTTTAAAAGACGCGCCCCGCCCTCATCTCAGTCACGCCCCTCAAATGAAAATACAGGGAGGGTGTGTCAAAAAATGTGCACACTGTGTTTCGTCAGTCATTCTCCTGCTTTAATGTCTTTTGCCGAATTTGAGGTACCGTTTTGTAGAGTCGGCTTTGACTTACGATTAGATTACAGTATAGAGCAATCTTCGATCTCTCTTCCTTCTACAAAGTTACGGTAGGAACTTTAGAAAGCTCTAAGCCATTGTAATTCGCAAAGGAAACCAAACAAGCTAAACTCCTATGTTAGGCTACTCAAGGTCGCTGATCTGGAATATGAAAATTGCCCATGATAGTCATGCTTCTTCCATAAGTTATCCACTAAAACATAAGAACAGCATTCTGTTTTCAAAAATGTGCTTGCATTATGGAAAACCCTCTAAAATCATATGGAAAGTTGTGCAACGAAATCAACATGCGCGAAAACCCTGCTACGAATTCCCCAGATTTTTTTGGAATTATTTTATGCATGGCCTATTTCACGATGGTGCAGTTCGAGAAAATTCATGCCATTATCCTGCTGAAGCTAAAAAAGATCGGAAAATCGCTCCATTCAGTGAATCTATGTTAAGCAAGCTCTACAAAATGGTACTCGAAAACTGGCGAAAGATTGAGAGTTATGAACGTTCAAACAGTGTGCATATTTTTTGGAAAAACCTGTATATTCTCAGCATAATTTTGATAAGTTTAGGTGACTTTTTCTGTTCTAGTTCCCTCTTGCAAAAATACCTCTATAAAACAAAGCATTTGGTACACTCACCAGAACCGACTGCACTATCACCTTCGGGTAAATCTGCGGAAACGTTGTTAGCTTCCTGAACAAATCTGCTGACACAGTAATCCAAGGCATTGATATTACAAACCTCTACAGACTTCTCCGGTTTCTTCCATCCGTGGTTTCTATAGTATTTTGATAAACAATCATCGAAAAACTCAACCACACTATCTCTCGTTAATTCCACTTCTATCTAGAACAGAATACAAAGTGCACCATCTTGCAAACGTCGACAACTTACACCACATTTCTCTTTGAAGATACGAGCGTTTTCTAAAAACTTCTCCATTACATGCTCGGAAGTACGAGCAAGCCCATTCTGCGGAAACGCACCATTCACAGTTTCTACTTCTTTACCGATGTATTTTGCCTAGATAGTTGTAATTCCGTATCTCTCAAAATCAAGAGGATATATTACCGCCTGAATGTAGTGATCTTCACACATGTATTTAGGAACAAGTCCTTGCTGTGCATAACGCTTCCTTCTAGTGAGATAGAGATCCACATCTTGTGCATAAATGCACGAGAGCAAAACAACCACATGACTGAGTTTTCGAGATGAACGCCGCATTTCATGAAGAAAGCATCGGTTGCCACATATCGTGCAGAGAGTCTTTGTCATCAAGCGCTTTTGTACCCCATTTTCGAGATTTGAGTTGTTAAGGAGATCTTCGGCAGATCTTAAAAAATGCAACACATGGGACAACCTTTGAGATAAGATGATGCTGAATTATTAGACTAGACAACTTTATTTGAGGTACATAAAAAGGGAACAGTGCTTGCTCAGGTCCACACAGGATTTCCACGACACTTCTGCAAACGCAGTTCTGATTTGTTTTCTTTCCAAGAACAAACGATATCCACCAGCAGGCACCTCTCCGTGGACTAGTGGTCTTTTCGCACAAGCTGTTGCATACAATGTGAGGACCAACAGTCCGCAGAGGTAGCGCCTAACGGTGAATTTCATTTCTCCTCGAAACAAAGAAAGAAATCGGAGCTGAACTCGCGGAAGTGCGGTGAAAATGCTATGCCTTGAAATAAGCAGTGCACCTATATAAAAGACTAGCTGGCTTACCCGGCTCCGCCGTATGTTCCGAATAGAAAATTCCATTTCTTAACCGATCCGGACCAAACTTGACGCACATACAAATCGGGCCCCGGCGGGTGTCACAGTCCACTTTTCGTTATCGAACGATGTCGATTTTATCGATTTTTTGCAAAATTTTGAGCTAGGGGGGCTGGAATTTGGCAGAGGGGTGTAATCGAGCATGCTGATCACCCCCACGGGGGTGATCAGCATGCTCGATTACCCCCCTGTGCCAACTCCCAGCCCCGTAGCTCAAATTTTGCAAAAAATCGATATCGATCGATGACGAAAAGTAGCCTATGACACCCGCCGGGGCCCGAAGTGTATGTGTGCTAAGTTTGGTCCCGATCGGTTCAGAAATGGAATTTTCTATTCGGAACATACGTTCAGACAGACAGACATACATACAGACAGACAAACAGACATTCAGCTTTATATATAAGATGAATTGTACCTCCATCCCGAACAAATGTCAAAAAAAATCTCCTGCCTTGTCATACGGCAAGCAAAGCAGAAGCTATATTAGCGCATTCACAATGTACTTTTTGGTTGCATTCAATAATTAGAAACGACTCACACTTGGTCGGAAGGTTCATCAGCGTCAATGGCGTCTTCATCAATCTAAAGAACAATATTTACAGTTTTCATTTGAAAAACTTAAACTCACTATTTCATCCTTCTCTTCGCTGGCTTCCATATTTTCCTCATCCATATGAAGCAATGTGAGACAAAACTCCAGAAAATATGCCACATCATCGTAATTTGAGGGCGCGGTCTCCTTCAACATCAGTTTTGGCCATATGAGCGGAAATTTGACGCAAGATTTACCCCAATTTTTCCTAAATGTATTTGCATATCCTCCCATAGGTAGTTCAGCGCTTCTGGAGGTACATCGATGTGCTCGCGAAGTGATAGATCATCCCATGTGCTCTTCAGATAATCGCTAATATAGTTAGCCTATAGTTAAAAATTCAAATCATCTATAGAAGCACAAACATAATACGCTCACACTATCTAGTAGATGCTTCCGACAAATACGAAGTCGTTTTTGTGAAACATCCTTGTAAAACAATCTTGCTCGATTTACGTTGATCACATTGAATTTGAGCACACAGTATACCACAAATGCATAACAACTCCAAAAACTGGCATAAGATGGAGATGTGGTGCATAGGTCCCTTTTTTGGACAGACACCCCACACAATGCACAGCAGAAGACACTTGAAGAGTCTTGCAGCTTCGAAATGGCTGACGGATCTTCCGAGCTGCCAGCGCTTAACAATCATTTATTGTAATAAATTAGTGCGCGATCTGATGCCAAAAGCTATACTTACCTCGCCTGGCTCTCGCCACTGCTACTATTCTGATGAGATTCCGCATGAGCAACTGAAATTGAAAATTGAATCACGAGACGCAATAACGGCAAAAAATCAGCAAACTAGCGAAACTTCGGAAGCAGCAAACTCTTTCATATCTAACAATAAAACCAAAGTAACTATCAAACAAAACCAATTACTGACTATTTGTGTTATCGAAAGTGATCTGAACCAATGTATTAGGTTGTCCCATAAGTCTTTTCATTTTTGAATTTTTGCTATAATAAGTCACACACTTCTTACTCTTAATAGACATCCGGATATCATTCGATAGAGCAAAGCAAGCACTATAAGATGGCGTTTACGCTTTCGCAAAAGCTTTGGTCTATCTCGAGTTTTAGACCAAAATCTAAAAAGTTTCGGATGGCCAAAAAACCGAAATTTTTTTATATCTTCGTTCAAAAAAGTCCTACAAACCTCAAACTTGCTCACGTATAAATATTTCACATCAGACATTCATATGTGCTGTTGCTGCATTTTTTTATCAGCTAGAAATCAAGAAACCGAAAATTTTCATGTTTTTACCAAAGTGATGCTGTGCTGTTCTTACACAAGCACTTGCATAGTAGAAGCCCTCAGAAGTACTGCAGTAGATTTTTGGCTCTCTATATGCTCTAGTTCACGAGAAATATCAAATTTAGCTTTCTTCACTTAGGCTTTTCACGCTTAAATCAACATTTCTCGGGAACCAGAGCTTATATAAAGCTAAAAAATTACAGTTGTACTTCTAAGGGCTTGCAGTAAACAACTGTCAGTGTAAGAACAGTACAGCGCCACTTTGGTAAAAACAGGAAAATTTTCGGTTTCTTGATTTCTAGCTGATAAAAAAATGCAGCAACAGCACATATGAATGCCTGATGTGAAATGTTTGTACGTGAGCAAGTTTGAGGTTTGTAGGATTTTTTTGAACGATGATATAAAAAAATTTCGGTTTTTTGGCCATCCGAAACTTTTTAGATTTTGGTCTAAAACTCGAGAAAGACCAAAGCTTGTGCGAAAGCGTAAACACCATCTTATAGGCCCTGGCCAGACTTCGCACAAAAGCGCGCAAAAGCGCCCAAAAGCGCGCAAAAGCGCCCAAAAGCGCGCAAAAGCGCCCAAACTTCTCTAACCTCTCCTCACTCTCTCTCTCATCTCTCCTCACACGAGAAAGTGAAGAGACACCAGAGAAATTTGGGCGCTTTTGCGCGCTTTTGGGCGCTTTTGGGCGCTTTTGAGCGAAGTCTGGCCAGGGCCATAGAGCTTGCTTTGCTCTATCGAATGGTATCCTGATGTTTATTAAGAGTAAGAAGTGTGTGACTTATTACAGCGAAAATTCAAAAATGAAAAAAATTATGGGACAACCTAATAGATCACTTTCGAGAATATTAACAAAAAGCTGCACAAATTCCTGATATCTCATCCGCATTCTAGAATACCACTGAATGTGGCCTAGGCTTACTGACGGCAAAACCGCACTTTTCTTTCGATACCGCCCAAGTCGTGTATTGATAGATTTTAACAAAGCTCAATGACGACGACTCACTCAATGTTTCAGCCGTAGTCTGCATTGAAGAAGATGAGTTTTGCGTTGATGAGGCTTGCAAAGTCTGGAAATGCAATCATCATTGTTCAAACAGTGAGGAGCTCAATCTCTGCCCATACGTACGCACTCAGTGTTAAATGAAAAGAGGGGGGTAGCAGCCCTCTAAAAATGTGGCCAATTTTTGGAGAGTGGTATATGGATGAAGTCATGCAAGTACTTTTCATGTAGTAAATTAGGATAGTCTTGGATTTTGCAAAATTGAGTTAGTTTTACAAATTGTTCTGACCACTCAGAAAAGACTCTCCCGCCCTATCAGAAAAAAAACCCCCGAACTGCCACCGATGTACGCTGAGCCGACTAATGTAAGATTCTGCCATCACCAACAGACAGTACCTGTTTTATAAGATGAGCGAGAACCTTTTCTCCTCTACGACATGTGCTAACAAATTCATTCAGATCGTAGGTCCGCAATGTCAGTGTCTTCTGAATAAGCAAAACGAAAGCTGAGGCCTGTGAGCAGTTTTCACTTACATCCAGCGCATTTGAGATCGACTGTAGACGTGATAGCAATTCCATGACTGGAGTAGATGTATCCGGATTCTGCGATTCATCTCCACGCAACTCCTTCAGCATACAGCTTACATGGAGTGCCCGAAATGACAAATTATATCAGAAAAGAGAATGGATTACATAATTTACACTCACTGCATCAAGATAGTGCTTTTTGCAGAGAATTTCCTTGTTTAGCGAGAATTGCTCATACAAATTAGTCGCAACATTCAAGTCCAATGCGCCTTTTAAAACCAAAGAACAAAGAAGCAAAGCATTTGATGCTCGACTGAATGACGTGGATCTCATCTCCTTGGAGGGCTGCGCTTTATCGCATAGGGAGCACGTGAGTATTTCTGCTCCCTTTGCCTCTTTTCTAAAAATGTAAGGAATAAAACAGGGATGATCTTACTTTATCGAAGTTGGCAAAAAAAACTTTATAATACGTGCTGTTTCCTGCAAGTACAACTAATTGTAAGTATTGTTAGGCTTCTTGTAGGCAAAACAAGAATAATTTCGTCGATAACAAAAACACATTAGACTAGTTTCAAAGGTTTAAATGATTAACATGTTCCAGAGAATGAAAAAAAACAAGAAAATACAAACAATCCTAGCTGAACTTACACAACGCTTTCCTTGGGGACAAATTCAGCTGATTTTGACGCTGCCTCTGGTACAGATTTCTGAGTTCTTTCTAGTGTTGTCTGAAACAACGCAACGATTTTGAAATAAAAAAGAATAATTTGCTCCGTATGCACATACGATTTCCATGTCTTGCGAAATTTTTTCATTCCACCCACTTCTGTGACGATACTTTGCAAGACAATCATCATAGAATCGCGCCAACTCTTCAAAATTCAGTACTTCGTCCTCCTAGAAAAAGCAGATAAGAACTGAGACAACAACCATTTCAAACAGTTACTCACACCAAGCAAGGTGACGCATCCTTGTATTTGCTCCATTACAGCCGATAGCATTTCTCTTGGCATAGCGAAAAGCCCATTCTCGGGAAATCTTCCCCAATTCTTCTCCACTTGCTGACCAATCCAGCTAGCCTGTAATGTCATCATTAATAAAAGACAACCAAGAAGTGGATTCTTCTGCACCGCCAATTACCTTCAACTATTACCTATTCTACAGATACCTTCGTAAGCTGATCCGAATTCGGAGAAAACAAAGCATATAATCACATATTCATAAATTCAACCAATTCTTTTGCACTTCTCAGTTACTTCTGTAAGCTACTTTCAAAATTTGCGACTTTTAGAAGGGGGAGTTCGCCGCCGTACAATGTAAGCACCTTTTCGCTGATGCGACTCAATCTCTAACGGTGCAAAGAACATTAGACCTTTCAAAGACGTGTCTGGTTACGGTAGCACATAGCATGGCTGTATAGCGAGATCTACAATTCGAAACTTACCGCTTGTATGTAATGTTGTTTGCATAGTCGTTTTCGTCCAGAGCCTAATCGTTGGAATAATTCTTTAGCTACTTCGGCTTTGATGATCCCGCATGAGATTAGACAAGACATGAACACCAAATTTTGCCGAGGATTCATCGAACCCCAACGGCTTTCATCTTCAGCGCAAACAAGACCGCATAGATAGCAGCCGCGATTTCTTGAGAGGCGAGTTCCTTGCATGATACAGTTCTCAAGTCTGTCTGTTCTGAAAGACCTTCCGTTGGTTGAAAGTAAAAGAAAGATGTACGATGACAGCAAGTTACACAGTCATAAGAAAAATAGGAAGATATCATGCCCATGGTCGTACCTGTTTTCATTATTGTAAAAATCACCACAGAAATTTGGGGGCTTTTCGCGATCTGAAAAAGCTACTTTTTTTAAAAATATGTCTTTCAGAATTTGCCCGATATGAGAAGATGATCCTACCGAACTGGTCATTAGAGCACGTTGGAGCAGATTTTGTTAGAGAAAAATTCGCTACCTGAACTACGCATAGCAGCAACCCAGTAACAAAGTAGAGTAAACTATGTGCAACACCAACCTCATACTCTCTAGTAGACTGTGAGGCTTCTTCTTCTACATACAATCGCACTTCGGATTTTGCAACACATTCATGATAAAATTTCTTCAATGCAGCAAGATTCACGACTACGCTATCCTAAATCATAATAAGTATGTGACCGCCTAATTAGCCAAAACGACGACTCTATACAGACTCACATCAATTTGAACTGCATACGTCCACAGTTTGACCAGTAGATCTGTCCATACCGTTTCTGGCACATCAGAAAGATCAGGCTTGCAGGAAGATTTTGCCAAACTCTCGACCTCCCTCCTCATTACTTCAACCTAGAGGTAAACGAAGTAGGTGGTAAAAAAATGCCAAATAAAGTACTGGATAAAAAAATAGCATTTTGATATTATACGGGATGAATTATGCGGATGGTAACATAGTTGCCATTAGCCGGGGACTTCGAAAAGCAGATCAAACCGGACTCACATACTCATTGCACGTCGCGCAGCTTGCGACCAATAACGCGATACAAGCAGCGCAGGCGCTGCGCTCGCAGTGACTTTAGCGTAATACATGCAACTATCAAATGGTCGACTCGATATCTACATATGCGGTAAGTTCAACGCAATATTGAACAAAAAAAATAATCAATAAGTTAAAAATCCCATGTCGAGTGATTTTCAGTAGAAAAAAATTTCAAATTTCGTGGCAAATACTTACTGCTAGTGCGTAATGTTGCTTGCACGCTAACACCTCTTTGCCACAAGTGATCCCAGACAGTGTTACTTTTGCCGAATCTCCATCTATGGAATCGTCCATGAGCAAGCAGCTCAAGAATATGAGATTCATATCAGCCCGGTCAAACATTGCACGAGGGTCTGAGCAGTTGTTGCAAAGTCCGCACTCGTAAGTTTTATCGAGTGCCAGATCGTGCGAAGAACTGAAGCGAACGTTCAAACCAGGGAAAACGTGGAAAACCGTGAAAACTCACTTGAGGAGTACATCGATCGCGCTCGTCTCCATCTCCTCTTCCTTGCAGATAGCTGAAAAAGAGGGATAGCGCTTTGGATCAATTACCCATATGTCAAACTTACATGCATTTTGCTGATGAATCCCATCTACTGATGGACTGGGAGAAGTGCTTGCTCCAGTAAAGCATTCATCTTTCACTTTATTTGCCCAGAGAAGTGGGGATGACGTCCCTGCAGAGGAATTCCCTCCGGTTTTGTTCGCCTCAAAAAATGCCTGCAAAAGCGTATCTTCCAACAAACACAATTTTGCTCTTCACAGATACTCAAGAACTCAAAATATTGCAAAGGCGTGCAAAAATCTCACCTCCCATTGATTTGTATCACGAAATATTACTAAGCAATCGGAGAAAAAGTTGATCACATCTATCACTTGGATGACCAGCTTATTCTGAAAGAGGCAACACAATTGTGTTCAAACGGAAACAGAATGATCATCGTTCAGCTCACATCAATCAGCGCACCAACATTTTTGACCCTTTCGAAAAAATCCTGCCAAAGTCCCATGGCAATACAGTCTAGCCCATGAAGAGGGAAGTTTCCCGTTTTCTCTTTGATTGCATTACCTATGATCAAAGCCTGCAAAACGAAGTAAGTGACAGATGTTAGGATAAAGATCTTTAACACACCGCCTGAATATAGTGTTCTTTGCAGAATCGTCTTCTATGAAGCAAGATATCCCGGTAGACATTTTGCGCTAATTTGATGCCGACAGAATTATTGGTTAGTAGACAAGATAATAAAATAGGATTCTGCTTTCGGTTTTTCCATGAGTCTCTCATTTCCGAATCTGCACGTAGCTCGCCGCATAACGGACAGTTGAAGTTTTTCGGACTGATGGGAGCAACTTCTGAGGAAGAAGGTAATAAATTTGATCTCTTCAGGAGTGGTTCGATAGTGCCATTGTCCTGAAAAGTTACCAGATGAATTTTATTGGAGTGAAGTTAAGCCACCTCTCACTTGCTCGATAGCGCTCAAATTTCTTTAATCTTCTTAACAATTCTCTTGTCTCTCCTCACACACATTCCGCATTAGCCGAAAGCGCTAGCAACGCTAACGCGGATGTGAGGACAGATGAGAAATTTACACAGCAGAAGAAATTTGAGAGCTTTTGGGCGAAGTCTGTTAGGTGCCTAATCTGCGTGTATCTCATCGATGAAGGCTTATCTCATAGGTAAGGGCTGTCTCACTGACACTATCACAGACCCTGCGGCATGACCCCTCGCGGACGCCGTCGCAAATGCATCCCCTAAGCATTTTTCCCGTTTCAATCTGCACAATGTGAGACCACAGACCGGGATATTGTGCGCGAAAGCTGCGCCTAAAGGGCGGCTGCAAAAACCCGGACCGCCGCACAGTGACACTGTCATTGAAACAGCCTGTTCTCCGAAAATTCTCTTCGGTTGGGATAGACTGCGCCGCTGCTGCTATGTATTCTATCAATCACTAGGAATCAAACCAAACACAATGTGACCATGCTCTTGCACATGCCACAGAAGCGTAAGAACAGAATGTACAGAATGGGCAAAAAAAAATTCTGCGTAACCCACATACCTGGACACTTTTTCTTTTCCACTTCCTCAATCGTTGATATACTTTGGATTCAAATCTACGTAAACAATCATAATAGAAACTCATGGCATCATCCGCTTCCAACTGCATTTCTTCCTGATAAAATGCGATATTCTAGCACAATACTGAAGACTGTCAACTCACATCCAGTAGAGTGACTGAAGACTGAAGTACACTGATAAATTTGCTGAGCACATCGGGTGAAAGCACATTGAGAACAATAGAAAATTCACCGCCAAGTTGCTCAACTTCGGTTTCAAGTAATGCAGCCTAGAAGGAATAATCAAATAGTCAACTGAACTATTTTAAATTGCTGCAAAGCCGCTGGGCTAGCGATTTTTCCAGCACTGAGTGGTCTATAAATGCTCCTGATTCGCGTCAAAACAGCATCGGTTTTCAAAATAGAAAGAAATTTGCGACATGGCCGCTGCCTCGTAGTATTTTCATGCTCTTCGCTCTGTGCATACACAGCGAGCGGCTGGCTCAAATTTCGCGCACTCTGGTCCACACGGAGCAGAGCCAAAACCAGTTGTGATGAGAGTGCACTCCAGGCTGAGCGGAAGTATGAACGCATGTAAAAAATTGTGCATTCATTCACAACGCACTCTTAAGCTTATAAAATTCTTAACGAAAAGGTATTTAAGGAAATAACAAAATCTTCTAGACGACCCAAAAAAGGCTTACTGGAAACCCACCAAATCAATCAGATGGTTGTCGCAGCAAAAAAGTCTCGTCCTTGCATCCTTTTTGACCTCCTCGTACACCTGTCTAGCCTTTTCGATTGTAATAAAACCATGTCGAAACAAACTCGAAAGCATGATGGCACGCCATGAATGTTTACTAGGAATCATTCGTACGCTGTATGGCGGGCGCAGCTCGAAGCAAAGTGCACAACCACGTAATGAAGTCATCATCCAAACATCGATCTTTGAAGAAAAGCCTGAAAAAGTAGTTATGTGTAGAACGCTCTGCAAAAGACAGGAAAATTTCCAACAAAGTTTGAGAACAAGAAAGGAAAGACAAGGCGCAATTTACGGGGAAAAGAATCCGGATCGAGATGGCGTATGCAGAAGATGACAGCCAAATTCATGCAAAAGACTTCGATGAAATCGCGCTCCCGCCAGAAAAAACATCATATTCAAACTTACCGTCTTGATTCTTCAGTGCACCATATGCATGACATTATTTGTTTTCAGGATACAGAACAGATAATAACTATGATTACCGAATGAAGCTGGCGCGCTCTACTGCCAGAAAATGGAAATTCAAACATACTGTGCGGCTACACACCATAGAAACCGCATACTTGACGGCTAGCATAAATTGCTGAACCGTAGGGTTCTCTAAATCTGAGTGTGCTGATTAGGTTCTAGAATGTGCTGCTCAATAAATTTTGCACATTCTAACTCTTGATGGATATACTGACGAGTTATCGCACGCGGAGACTGTATTGCGCTCCGTCCGATAGAGAGTATTCGGTAGGCACACGCTATAGGTAGGTGCCAGAGTAAGCGAATATTTTGTTCAGGTTGGGGTCCCGCACAAAATGGACATCACTCATCATACTGGCTTCAATCCAAATGACGTCAATTCTGCGCCGGACCCAATTTGAACAAAATATTCGCTTACTCTGGCACCTACCATAGTTGATCCAATTGATCCGCTTGATCCACTTCGTGTAAAAAGCACCGTGAGTAATTTGTCTTTTGGTGTCATATACAGTGCATTCGCGTAAGAATACAGAATTTTTTCATTCACGCGACGCCAACTGACGGAGTAGTGACGGCAGGTTTTATACGAATGGATCAAGTGGATCAAGTGGACTAAGCTGATCAAGTGGGTCAAGTGGACTAAGCTGATCAAGTGGGTCAAGTGGATTAAGCTGATCAAGTGGATTGCCTACGGCGTGTGCCGTAGAGCAGACAGTAAGGAGATGAAGATGCGTTTGGTCAAAGAGGCGCCGACAGCGTCCGCAATTGCGTACAGTCTCTCCATACGATGACTCGACTATACTTAGCACTGCATTTCTAGCCTTCAAGTACGATAGCCAGGATTTTTTCATCTTGAAATCCAGATATTCACCTTATACAATCTCAAAGCGCTAGTAGAAAGACGTTACGCCTCCATAATTCATGCGCATGGACGTTTCTAGCAAAAGCAGCAATTTTCAAAATCATGAAAATCATGCAGGTTCCAAAAAATCCTTTGACAGTTCTTAGCTTCTGGCCAACCTGAGCCGTCTTCATCAAAAGGATAGGAAGAAATCTGCCGCGCAGTCGTAATCTAATTGATTACGATTGCGCGGCCCATTTATAGTCTGCGTCCCACTGTTCTTCCCGCGTAACACCGCTTCGGATGCTGCTCGCCTTCCCGCTGCCTCTTTTCGTGTTTGTCGAAGCATTTAAATCTCGATGCATGTGTGCCGACGCGTCAAAGGCAGCGAAATCTGCGTTGCACTTGTTATTGGAGGAATTTTAGGACAAAGACTATAGCTGAAGACATGTAAGGCGTCGGGCATACTTCACTTTTCGATTTCGATTTCGTCGCCTGTTCCCGACAAGGCAACTCTTACGAGTCCATTGCATGTCAATCACCTTGCGTTTCGGTTGAGATAGTTAGTCACGATCAGTCGTGTAGGAAAATTATCAACTCCGAAATGTAGAAGGTTCGGCGTGCAATGAACTCGGAACAATTGTCGTATTGGGAGAATCGCGATGCGATGAAGTCGCATGTACTATGCTCGAAGCCTAAGAGCTTGTTTCAAGAACTCCCGTTGAATACAAAATTTGAAGCTTTACAGCAAAGTTTTAAGCCTATAAACCGTGCTCATGAATAATTCACACTCCACCCCCCCCCCCTCTCACCCTTCTCATACACTAAAAACGAAGAAGTCCTTGTAGCTAAACTTATTGTTTGATGCAAACAAATTGTAAGAACAGACGGACATTGGAAAAGATGTCTAGTCACCTAGAAAACCGAAGGGAAATAACGGGCGTGAGCGTATTGACCGGCCGCCGCACGCGGGCGTTTCTTTGCTCACTCACCGTTCCAGTTGTACACAGGGGGCGCACAGCATTCGAGGCCCCCTTGCCACCATCGATTGTTTTCGCTCGACGGCGGTGACACAGATGTTCGTTTTGGGGGGCAGGGGTGCAGATTTTTTTTCACTACCAGTGAGATTGCCGCAGATATAGACCTGCTGCATCAGATATTGGGTGAAGGGATTACGTAGGGAAGGGAGGGAGGGGAGGGGGAGCTCGCCAACGCATTTCGAAATTGGAAAGCCCTCAAATAAAAATCATAATTGCGATTTTTTTTTTGTTTTTTTTAAGAAATGACATAGGCAGTGCACATGTTGCGACCAGTGAAGCGGCGCGTCTCCGCTTGTCTGCGTCTATTCTACGCGCGCATTCTCTACGTTGTGCACTGTTGCTTCTGCATCGCCGCCTATTCGGATCTTTACTTGCTAATTTTTTGGATTGTAGGGATGTTAAGTCCAACAAAATATGATAATATGTCGTTGTATAAGTTTTCTTATTTTTCGTTTTCTTCTGGAAACGTTGGAACATTCAGTAACGTCTCATACAGGATGTCCCAAAAAAAATGTTTCGAACGTTTGATCGTTAATATCTCTCTTCCCAAGAAGTCTTTTGCCTTGCTTCAAGTACCGTTTTGTAGAGCTGGCTTCAACTTAGATTTGCATTATAGAACGAACCATCTCTCTTCACTACTGTAGGATTACGGTAGAAACTTGAAACTAATGGTGTCAATGTGGAAAAAGCTGCCGTTTCAAAATTTTTCAAAAAAAGTGTGAAAACTTGTGCATTGGGGTTTTTATGGACGCCGAGTTCAATACTCAACTATTCGCGAGATTACGAAGCCTTCTAAACGGTGTAACCGCACTTTTTGGGAACATTGAAAAAATGGCCGCTACCTCTTACCTGGCATAACTCTTCAATGAAGCATCATAATAAGTTGGGAACTTTACAGTCATAATCAGCAACTCTAATTAGCCTAGTGTAAAAGTTTCCAGGCTGTTTTATTTCATTTCTGAGGCAAAATATGGCCTTTCATTGCTCAAAACCCTCTTTGAAGTTTCTACCGTAATCCTACAGTAATGAAGAGAGATGGGTGATTCGTTCTATAATGCAAATCTAAGTTGAAGCCAGCTCTACAAAACGGTACTTGAAGCAAGGCAAAAGACTTCTTGGGAAGAGAGATATCAACGATCAAACGTTCGAAACATTTTTTGGGACACCCTGTATTTGGCACATATGAGAAAGGTATGAAGGGGTATCCGTTGGCATCATTATTGCCTTCACGGACATGTGTTACAGTACATATATGAAGGCAATTCGATGACGGTACACCCCCTTTTTTCCAAAAACTTCCGTTGTTATATATCCAGTTTATATGGGCATCGAGAGTCGCAGTAGTAATGCAAAGGCAGTACAGAAGGAGAATTATCAAAAAGTAATGGAAATTCTAAAATGATTCAAAAATTAGACTCTTCATGTGTGATTTGCATACATCGAAAATCCACAGCCTTTCACATAATTTGCAGTTGAGGAAAAATCATTTAAGGAATTTCTAAAAAATTGTCCTGTTGAGTGTAACAAAACTTATGTAACGATCTAACAGTATCACATAAAGTATTTAAAATTTTGCTTTTATTTGATCGCTATTTTGCCTAAATAAAAATTCCTCAAGATAAGTGGCATTCTCCTAACACACTGGAATGTATCAACAGTCTATTTCTTTTCTCTATATAAAGTAATTTTTTTCTTTCATTGGTTCACAAGTTTTCAAAAGTAGTACTTCCGCAAATGAGTAGCTTTTTCCCGTAATGCCCTGTTTTTTCTCCTAATAGCAGACTATTGTTTACACTCCCCCACTTGCTCAATGATCAGAAATTGGCTATCGCTTGCAGTAAAACGTGATCATTGATGAAACACCATCTTACAAATTTTCTTCTCTCAGTCTCTTCAACAGAGTTTTGGTTCCTAAAGCAATAACTGAGTTTCGTCAACAATTCACTCTCATTAGCTATCCATTAGGTGCAAAAGTAATGACATATAGAGTCTTCCAGCAGTTTTTGCGTATTTTTTGTATATTTTTTTGCGCATTTTAGTCCCCCGAGCGGCATCTACCCACCCAGTTTTTCTGCGTGGACCTCTATGACCACAACGGCGGATACATCCATTATGTTTTCAACTCTCAGTCCCTGCACTTCTCCGCTGTTGTGTCGGGGTTGCTGGCGGTCGGCTCGTCGTCTCCACAAACATTCCTGTTTACGCCGTCCGCCACCCGGCCGACTCCACCCATAGTCGCTCACATGCCGCCATTGTGCTGTTTTTTTGTTTCAAGTTCTTGTTTCAACGCCTGTTGGTTTTTATACTTTCAGGGACTCCGCAGTTGGAAGCCCCTTTTATAGGTTTTTCCTTCAATTGTACTCCTGAATTTTTTTCCTTTTTTTGAAAGGAAGGAAGATTTTCTTGTTTCGTAATGCCTTTCTACTGTGACTCAACGTTCAATAAGCAAATTCCATTTATTTTCTATGTAAGCAAAAATGAGCAGCAACTACATCACCAGATGGTACCATATCCTGATTGTTATTTGATGAGTTATCGTCACGAAAGATCATCAAATCGTAGATCCTTTTTGAATCTGAGCATACCAGCAACAAAGGTAAAAATTTTAATCACTCTAGAAATTTTTTTGATCAAATGTAGATTTTTGAATGTTGTTGTAGATGCATGGTATCATTTTTCAATTTTCACTCACACAATGTAGATCAAATAAACATTAATATATTAATTTATTTTGACTGTTACTATTATTATTATATTAATTTGCACTTCAGTACTCATACAACGTATCCATCAGTTACACCACAAATTCTGCGCATACGATGGGTATTGGTAGTCCCAGGCTTTTTGTTGGGGAGGGGTGGGGGACGAAAATTTTTTCTCGGATGGAGGTGCTTGTCTGCGGCACTCCCCGAATTTTTTTCTCTGAGGCTAAATAGAATTTTTCGAAAATTTTGAAAATGTAAATTAATTTGAAGTATAGAGAAGTCATCTGCAGATTTCTCTTATGTAAGTAACTTTTGAAAATTTTGCGATCCATTCGCTGGGTGGGGCGTCCCCGTATTGCTCCGTGATTTTTGAATTTGCCCTGAATATGCGTCTTCTTCGCTTTATTAGCATTGTAAATTCAAAGCGATTTGTAGTCAAAACATTCTGAAAAAATAAGAAAGAATGTCTTGTCCGATCATTAGCTGTCTAAATCTAGTGGCTAAAATGCGTAGCAAACCGAATTTTGTAATTTCATGAAAATGGAGAAGACGCATGTCATAGTGTTTATTTATAATTCAGATGCAGCAGCGCTACTAGTCATAAATAGAGACAAAAAATCTGTAGTATGTCAAAAGATTTTCATTCTCCAGCTTGACTTTTTCTCACATTCAAACTTTATCGCTCTGTAAACATTTATAGTTGTGGGGGTCTTTCCTTTTATGGGGCGAAAATCACTGAATACTGATCAGAGGGAATATGCTGTAATACAAATGCTTCTGTCTTTTAACACTGGAAGTCGGGAATTAATGGTAAACCAGGTGAAATTTTTTCCTGTCAATACTTTAAGGGCCGATCTGTAAAACTGAGGAACAAAGTATTCGTTGCATGGGGATCATTAATCACGTGGTTTTTGCGCAGTTGTCTTGTATTACGTAGGAAATTCCAAACATTTTTCTCTCAGCAAGCTCGAAATGCTTTAAGTTCATTCGTCCTTTGGGAAGGTTTAATAAGTTTCTGCTGAGTACAACATGTCACATCATCAAAATTTAAGCCATCTAATCCTCCGAAAATGAGATCGGATTGAAAAGTGCTGATTGTGTGCTTCGTCATCTTATCTTCCCTTTATTCAGTCAAAATTTTTCTGAATGAATTACTTATTCCTGAAAAGACTATAATATTTCGTTTGTCTATTGCTTTTGATTTCGTGGCTGCATTTTGAAACATAAGCTAGTATAAAAAAGCTAGAAAGTAAATGCCAGGGAAAACCCATTTATCCTTTAGCTTTATCCTTAACTGGAAAATTTTCTAAATATCATGTGACTGGCTTACCTTGACGAAATTGCTCGTAGGGTAGACTGCGATTTCTAATTGTGTGTTGTGCCTCACTGGAAAAGTTTTTTTATTGCCCTTTACTCAAAATTTTAAGTTCATAAATCTGCGACAGATACCCTGGAAGTGCATAGTTAACTGTCCTTGCTTCCCAAGCGGATGTAAGTGCTTTGCAATTTTTCATGATTCAGTACAACTCCAAACATTCTTTTTACTATGGTTACATATGTTCCCATTTCCCTAGGGTCCAATCAGGCGAAGTCAGACCGAGATTTTATATGTCTTTGTGATATTTTACTGCACTGAGGCTATAAATCAGCTGTCTCATGGCGATACTGCCTATAGAGTGGAAGTATAAATATGTCCAAGCAGTAATGTAACAGCATCAAATACAACATGCTGTCTGAATAGTATGTCGTTAAAAATATAAACATCACGTGCTTTGTCTGGGTCCATCTCGTCAAAGTATATCGAATCAGTTGAGTACATTGCTGTCGCCGTTCGCTGTGTTATTTGAGGAGTTCCGCCTCGGGGGAGACCCTGGGTTCAGATTACCTCTAAGCATCTGATCCTGCAAATTTTTCTTTTATCAGTGCTTAACTTGATGCAGTTGCAGTGCCCGCTCTTTTTCCCAAATTAATCTTCTTGAAGATCTCACAACTCTTGTGGTGATGTTTTCGAGTTCCATTTTTTGTACATTTTCTATGTAATTTGCCAGGATTTTACAGAAGAGCGGTAAAGTAAACAAGCAACATATCATTCATTCATTGACCAAGAGACGCGAACACGTTTGCGTACGTTTGATCAACAAGTTCATAAATGAGTTTTAAATTGTTTTGCTTAATTTCTACACGAATTCGTGAAAGAACGCGTTCGTGCCAGCGTGGTTTAACGAGCCCAAACATGTTCTTCTAGGAATTCTAATTGTAAACAATCCGAACGCGTTAATATTCATGAACATGTTAATGAAATGTACGCAAGGCGTGCTCGCGTCTCCTAGGCAAAGAATGATGAGTAGATCAGAGTCTGTCGGGCATGATGTTTTTGAGCATGGGAAATGAGAAAAGGGCGTAATCATTTCAATTTGAAATCATTGCCTTGAACAAATTTATCTGACAGCAAATCGTTTAGCTGTTGTACTTATTTCACATTGCATTTTGTATCCTATGTTCCATCCAGTTCTTTTTACTGAAAAAAATGAGACAAATTGACTTCATCTAACCCTCAACATATTCCTTTTTATTCAGTGAGCGTCCTGGGAGTTAACTTTGGAACCAAATTTGCGAAAGTAAATACACACAAAAGCTGAGAATTTATTTCAGTGTTTACTTTAGTCTCAGCAGAAGAGACTTTGGAAACAAAGAAATTTTAGTTTTGAAGAAATTTTGACTAACACATTGTCATCGAATTAGACTAGATTCATCTTCCCTTACACTTGCAAAGGCTCCGTTTCGTATCTATAACTTTATTCCCAGTTTTCAGTCTTTATCCGCATATATCCAACTTTCAACTAGTTTTTTCACTCATTTTAATATTTCAGATCGATCTACGTATCAAATATGCATTTCATTCGTCTTTCTGAGGCTAACCTTGATGAGGTGTTGAAGGTTTGTTCAGTGTTTCGATTTTTGGTGCTTGTTACTGCAGTCGTGTGCTGTATGATCAGCTAAAGTTCGTCTCACTTCCTATCAGCAGTAAACATGCGTAAAGTTGTCTCCTTGTCGTGACGGCCGTGTCTCAACGAGATCTCCAAATTTCGCTCATCAAGTAACAATAGAAATTGAGAATGCACATAATCTTTGTAGATACACAATATCTACAAGCGGATACACTCAAAATGAGTTTGAATGGGGAAACATAATAAGAGCTCTAAATATCTAATTTTATTTTTGTTTTGAAATAATGGTCTACTTTTCCAACTGAAAGGGAGTGATGGTTAGTTGAAGCGGCTTTTTGAGATGGAATGTTTATCTGGGGAATTTGGAGACCGAGAGTTAAGAGCGATTGGAGTAAAAAAATTGAATGGGCATGTAGGATAAAATCAATTGCTAAAATCTTCCCATTGTTCAAAAGAGGCAGCGGTGTGTGGATTTATTTTATCAAAGAGTATCTAATGCTTAAAGGTTTTTATAATTCTCAATGCACTACTCAATCGCTGGGGAAAATGCTGCGCTATTTTTGTTCCTTACTCGCAGTATTTCTTTCGCAGATAAGAAATAGGGATTGAAAGTCAGCATCTTATGCTCTCCAGGATGGTATACATTTCATTTTAAAAGACTACTTCCATCCTTCGCTTGCGAGATAAATTATTGCTGATCAGGTATCACGAAAAGTAGTTTTCTTATTGCTAATTTCGAAATTTTATTTCTTAATTCATGGAATATATGATAAAACTCATATGATATTAGATTGAACCAAAAGTTCGTCCGCACCATTTTCAGAAAATCGTAACTTCTTCCTCTTATGATAATCTTGCACGATAAAAACAAATTTAGGTAGAGCGAAGAAGCGAAGCGAAGTATACTTTCTAGCTGCACTCTAATTGTTATCTACTAAGCTTTGAATGCAGAGATAAAATTGGGAAAAGAAATTACTTCAATTTTGAAATTTTGAGGCAAGCCCATTAAAAATTCCAAAACTGTGCCATAAAATCAAAAACAGCCATATCCTAGGTTTTCTGATCCCGTTTTCCTATATGAAGAAAATTCGCGCTGACCAAGCTCTCCTTAGAAAAGTTATGATTCTCGAGAAAAAATGCCAAAAAATCAGTTCGTTAAAAAAGTTGAATTTTCGACATTTTTTCAAAAAAAAATCACAACTTTTAAAGGAACAGCTCGATCAGTGCGAATTTTGCTCAGCTAGGAAGAGGAGGTCAAAAGATCTAGGATACATTGGATTTTATGGCCCAGTTCTAGAATTCTTAACGGGCTTGCCTCAAAATTCCGGAAACTAATTTTCTTTCCACAATTTCATCTATTCAGAGCATGAGAGAGAGAAAGCAAGATGTCATTAGAAAGTACATGAGCTACTTCTTCTGGAAGTATTTTTGTAATGGAAAACTAAGGTAACAAGAAAATGTTACGATTTTTGAAAATTGTGCGAACGAACTTCGGTTCAACCTATTATATATCATGATAAAAGTATTATACAGATTGGAGCAGTTTTCTAAGCATTTCCAAACCGATTATCGCATTTTTGTTGACTTGTGCTTTAACTCAAAATATTACATAAATCAGACAGGAGGGTACGCACAGGGCTCGGCACGAGGTGGTATACAAGCAAGCTGGATATCGTTTTTGGGACGAAAAGCAAAGGGGGTTTCGTTTTGTGACCGAAGAGACACGGAAAATTGGCGACGGCGACCTTTTTTTAGTCTACGTTTCGTTTTTTGGGGCATTTTGGGGAATTTTTCAGGTTTTTAGAGGAAATTTGGTTGAGGGTCAAAGGGGACTTCGTAAAAATTCCCAAAAGTCAAGGGGGACTTCGTTTTTTCCATTTTCATCTAGCCACCTCGTGCCGAGCCCTGGGTACGCAGTGGAGCGCTGAACTCTCTATGGTAGTTTTTACAGGTGGAGAATATGGGAGGTGCGCGGAAGTGGGAGAGAAGGAATATGAAAAATATTCTTCTCCTTTCTAAAAGAGACTTCGCTTCTCTTTGAACTCACCAATTTTGCCTTGAACCCTCATTCAATTTCTGAGGTTTTTACACTGATTAAATTTTGATAGCATTTAGAGTTAATTTCTTATAAAGCGATGTAGAACCTTGTCTTAAATTGTGCTTCATTGTTGAAATGCTTTCTGGGCGAGCTAGTAGTTACGTGCAGCGTACATTGGCCTGACCATGAAACGATCTGAAAACTGGTAAAGATAAGATAATTTTCATGGAATTCTGTTCTCAGTAATCCTTCCATACTTTTTCCAATCTGAGTGATTGTGGCTTGTGTACGCTCAAGCTAGCTGGAGACGTCAGACAAAGTTGTTTAGTTTTGTTTATACAGCCTCACTCAAGTGACAAGAAGAAATCTCCCTTCAGTTCTTCATACCTCACATTCCTTTTCAGTTCATCCTCGATGATCTGGAAGCCATTGAACCTCTAATAGAGTCTCTATCCATTGGAAAAGAGGACTGCAGCGCGTTCTTCAGGAGTAAGTAATTCTTCACCTTTTCACAGTCTGAGATTTTCAATTTTTTTCTCAAGCCATCTTATCCCTCAATTTTCTAATCTTGTGGATCCAACTCCATACACTCAGTTCAGTTTCCATTTTGCAGGCTTGTTGAACGAAGCGGTTCGCAGCCAAGTATCGTACTTTGTCAAGGGAGATGATGGAAAGATTGCTGGCGTGAGACTAAGCACATTCCTCACTCGCGGAGAAAACGATAGGGAGACTGAGGTGAATATAGTTGGTTCAACGCCGCAGAAAGGGTAGCGATTGCGGCGTGCGCGACGCGTTTGCGTTAAATGCGCGCCCGCATGCCGTCAGCTGAAAAATCCAGAAGTGCCGAAATGTCTTAGTTTCATATATCGTTTCGTAGATGATCTTTAAAGTTTTTTTTTACAAATCTGGTTTTCATTTCCATAATCAGATAGTGATTGTTCTAGTACACCCCTACACCCGAATTATCACAAAATCTCGAACGTGCGCAATGCCTTCTATGGCATCTAAACCGACAGGTAACCGTTCATTTTATTTTTGCACTAGCTGGCTTACCCGGCTCCGCCGTATGTTCCGAATAGAAAATTCCATTTCTTAACCAGTCCGGACCAAACTTGGCACACATACACTTCGGGCCCCGGCGGGTGTCACAGTCCACTTTTCGTTATCGATTGATGTCGATTTTATCGATTTTTTGCAAAATTTGAACTAGGAGGCTGGGATTTGGCACAGGGGGTGTAATCGAGCATGCTGATCATCTCCACGGGGGTGATCAGCATGCTCGATTACCCCCTGTGCCAAATCCCAGCCCCGTAGCTCAAACTTAGCAAAAAAATCGATAAAATCGATAAAAGTAATGCACGATTTCAAAAACTAATATTCTATTCGTAATCAGCATGCTCGATTACCCCCCTGTGCCAACTCCCAGCCCCGTAGCTCAAATTTTGCAAAAAATCGATAAAATCTATATCATCGATGACGAAAAGTAGCCTATGACACCCGCCGGGGCCCGTAGTGTATGTGTGCCAAGTTTGGTCCGGATCGGTTCAGAAATGAAATTTTCTATTCGGAACATACGTAGAGACATACAGACAGACAGACAGACATACAGACAGATAGAAGACAAACAGACATTCAGCTTTATATATAAGATTGTAAACACAATTTCATGGATTTTTATAGTTCTGGCAAAATATGTCTCCCGATATCGAGAAGGTCTACTACCTCATGGCCGTCATTCTTGCACCACGTTTCCGTTACACTGATCTGGCTGATAAGCTTGTACACCATAATATGGATGAGGTAATTTTTGATATTATGAATTTTTGTAATTCTATTACGCCAGATAAATATAGTCTCTGTCAGTGGGGAATCCCTTTATAGGTAATTAAATGTAGTCTGTTATTTACATATATCTATCTTCTTATATATAAAGCTGAATGTCTGTTTGTATGTCTGTATGTCTGTCTGTATGTCTGTATGTCTGTGTGTACGTATGTTCCGAATAGAAAATTCCATTTCTGAACCGATCCGGACCAAACTTGGCACACATACACTTCGGGCCCCGGCGGGTGTCATAGGCTACTTTTCGTCATCGATCGATATCGATTTTATCGATTTTTTGCAAAATTTGAGCTACGGGGCTGGGAGTTGGCACAGGGGGGTAATCGAGCATGGGGATTCCGAATACAATATTGGTTTTCAGGATTATCGATTACTTTTATCGATTTTATCGATTTTTTTTTGCAAAGTTTGAGCTACGGGGCTGGGAGTTGGCACAGGGGGTAATCGAGCATGCTGATCACCCCCGTGGAGATGATCAGCATGCTCGATTACACCCCCTGCCAAATTCCAGCCCCCTAGCTCAAATTTTGCAAAAAAATCGATAAAATCGATAAAAGTAATGCACGGTTTCGAAAACTAATATTGTATTCGTAATCAGCATGCTCGATTACCCCCCTGTGCCAAATCCCAGCCTCCTAGTTCAAATTTTGCAAAAAATCGATAAAATCGACATCAATCGATAACGAAAAGTGGACTGTGACACCCGCCGGGGCCCGAAGTGTATGTGTGCCAAGTTTGGTCCGGATTGGTTAAGAAATGGAATTTTCTATTCGAAACATACGGCGGAGCCGGGTAAGCCAGCTAGTACTGTTATATAGCCTAGTCTGTTAACTTGCGTGCGTGCGTTGCCCGTGTCGCTTTCGCGAGCGTATGGCTGGCCTTTTGTCAAGTTTCAGGTCGATGCTTAAAGCGCGGCCCTTTACTATCTATTACCAACATTACACATCTTGTTCATGATACTTGCGAAATGCTTACGCATACGCACGCAAGAGGTTCGCGACGCGCATTGTGTATGCGACGCAAAGGCACTCGGCGGAACACGGTGTATACCGATAAACTTACAATAGAGCTGTACTATGTACAAATCGGCATGACTACGCGTTTTTGGACTGAATGAGAGAAATAAAAAATAAATACGCAGCATTTGTGAAAAATTTTTGGACATAATTATTGTTTCAGTTGCGTACGATGGGCGCACAAGGATTGGTAGCAAATGCTGGCATTTTCCACAATGACAAAGTGAGTGCATAAGATGTTCAGGACATCAGCGAGCTAGTTTCAAATTTTCATATTTCAGCTTCTCGAGATGCTCGGCTTCCGCATAATGGCTGAAGCAATAGACGGAGCTGTCAACAATTCTATCAGAAAAAATTCTTTCGAGGTAAGTAACGGAGTAATTGCTATAGGAATCCAAGCTCCATATCTTGATAGCAGTGGCAGTCCCACAATTTTTTGATCGGAGAGGAGAGGGAGGGGAGGGAAGGGAGGAAGGGGGGGGGGATAGGCGACGAAAAAGTTCAATAGGGCATCGGCAGTTCCTGTGGCTACATAAATCTTCAACCATCTAATAACAGCGAAAGTCGAAAAGTGGACATTGGTGCATGCTTACAGCCCTAAAAAACCTTTTGGTATCGTCGTCTTCCCGGTGTATCTACGTTGGGCGGAGCTTTTGCGGACATTTAAACACGTTGGTGAACTTGTTAACCCTCTACTACGAGGCATTGTTTTTTGTGATCTCTCGCTACCAACCCTGCCACGTGTGACAACAGCATATAAACGTGGCAGGTTAGAGAGTACAAAGAACCGTGCTCTGAAGCAGAGGCTTGACAAGTTCACCAACATATTGAAATGTCCGCAAAAGCTCCGCCCAACGTACGCCGGGGAGACGACGATATGTCTCAGTTGGTGATAATTATCTCAATAAAAAATCATAAACATCATCAAAGTTTCTTGTAATTATAATTTAATCAGTTTATTCTGGGTCTGTGGCGGAATAGCGCCTATGGAGTGAGTTAGCTCCGTTGTGTTATTAGAACACTAGCTCTAGAGCTTTATTGAGTCAGACGACCTGCATGGGTGCAGTAGTAGAATGCTCCATATAATGGGCGTGACAAGGTAGTATACATGCATCTGGCCTATGGAGATACTCAATCACAGCAGGTCATGCTTATGGCATGACCTGTACGGTACTTAGCAGTGAGTAAAGTGATACGGCAAAGAAGGGTGCCGACATTGTCGGCACAGGGTCGTTTTAGGAGATTTGTATTAATGTTGAAATATTCATTCAAAATATCTTTTCCAGTACGATGACAACACTCAGAAAACACAACTGGTCTACAAAGAAATGTGGCGAGGCGAAGAACTTGGAACACGCATTGTTATCTGAGGCCATTGTAACTCACCTTATGCAAAATATACAGATTTTTTCCACTGACTTTGAGCATAGCAATGGCCCATAAATAAGTTCATTTGCTACATTTGGGTAACTAAAATTGTCAGCTTTTTTTTGATATTTTAGCCATTTTGAAAAATCAGCTTATCCTTCCTTTTTCCAATCACGCTTGTATCATTGCTACCTCTTTTTGTTGTTTTCAGCTGCAGTTCAAAATATGGCTGTTTTTTTCTTCTCAACTCTACCTTCGTAAAATTTCGTGCGATTTCAACAAGTTGCGGCTTGAGATTCACAGGCAACTGAAAATTACCTCACATAATTCAAATTTTGGATTATTCATCCGTCATGTTTGTTTATTCTTCTCCCTATAATTCATTGCTATGCTTCTCAGCATTTCCGCATGTATATATTGTATTTCGTCCCAATTAAATCTATTTTCGACTTGAAGACCGTTTTGAAGTCCAATTTATCAGTCTGTTTATAGACAGGGTATAAGAGATAGATGCGGCAAGGGCAGGCAAAGGAAAGGAAGCGGACGTTTCTTGAACAGAGTTGATGCCGAGTTAAAGGCAGTGTCCGAGCAAAAACTCGACTTCTAGAAAATCCACTTACCGGGGGTCATCCGCAGCGCTGAATCCGAAAATACACATTATAAGGCGCAAAAACGGCGAGAACATGCGTTTCACAGAGCCTTACAATTTGAAATTCGACGGTGCCGCCAAGGCAGAGACGCAGAGTCGCTGCGGGACTCTACGATTTTGACTGTTGCGGCATGCGTACTCTGCCGCGTAGCAGGAGTTCGGACAGCTCGGAGGACCCCGTCCCAAGGCGTATGTTCCCCCACTTTCCTGTCGTTTTTCTTGTTTTAGGTCGAGTGTTATGACGTCGCACTTGCGCGATGTCGTGTCTGAGGAGGGCCACTCTCGCATGGCACTAAAATCCCAAAACCCCCATCTTGCCCGGACACTGCTTTCAAGTCTTTCGTGGAACCCATCCAATCCTGTCTTGTAGAGCTATAAAATGTCTTCAAGGACTTCTATCCAACATTTGACGGCGTAGAGGAATGTGTGCTACCCGGGCCCAACTAAGATTGTAAGACATGCTAAAGAATGGCACACTGTGCAAACAAATAACAAATGTTCTGACTACTTTGCACGAAAGGTCGAAGTTAGGCCATACAAGCACTTACCTTCATCTGGAAAGCAAGAACAATCTGCGTGGGACATAGATCACTAGATTTTCGCTTCTGGCTATGGTGGAAGCATCCATCCTCTTCCAAAGCTTTCCACATAGCGCGCAATGATTTTTTAGCGAACTTCAACTCCAAGTTCTCGCCGTCTCCTTACACCGCATTGAATAGCTAGCTACAGTCGAGTAGTTTTCCGCTTAATATAGTGTGCTTGCACTGAAGGTGAAATGCGGTAAATTTTTCGCGTGAACAAATAGTTGTGCCCGCGACGCCGGCCAATTGCGCGCAAAAGGGTGGTATTACTATCGTGGCTACTTGTTCACGCGCAAATTTTACCGCTCACCTTCAGTGCAAGCATACTATATTAAGCGGAAAATCTACTCGTCTGTACACTAGCGGTATGGTTCTTAGCTCTAAAACTGGCTACTTTGAAAACGTGACAAACCCAAAAACATTTTCTTCGCATCATAATCTGTTAGGTGTGAAGTCTCCATGGAGATTCTTTGATAGGCGTGGAGGAACAGGATTTCCGCTTCCATAATTAGAAAATCGGTGAGGTCAAGATTGAGTTGGATAGCCTAGCACTATCTGCCTAAATGTTTGGAAGATGCTTTCTCGTCTGCTCAAGCAACGATGTGATGTTAACAACCTCCATTCATTATATTCAATGCCAAGATTAATAACAGCAATCTTACAAGAAATCCGGAAGATGGTTTGCACCGTTGCAGTATCTTCTTTTCGCTGTGGTCTGCTGCGCAGTCTTGTTGGAAAATCCGGGCAACGTTTTAGCATTGTTTCGGCCCAAGTATCCTTCAGTCAAAATGTGCCGAAGATTCTTTTCAAACCTGAAAATCTGACGATCAACTTCTCACAGTGCTGATTTTCAAGCGTAATCAACTCCAGGTATACGTGTCAGATATGACCGCAGGATTGCAGAATCTGAAGAAGAGCTTGTCACTTCATTGCGGAACATTGTCCCCGTATGCTTGTCATGCACCGCGCGAAACTTGAGACAGTTCGAGAATACCTCTAGTTTCTGCGCAGACGTCTGTAACTTTGTTCTCCTTGTGCATAAATCTATTAGGCTGTCGCATAATTTTACCGTTCCTACTCTAAACATCAGCATTTCTCGAGAACTAGCGAACCTAAAAAAAATCCAAACATATGGTCGTACTTCTATATGTACGAGCTATATGACCACATGCATGGGAAGAGCTCAGGACGTTTAGGGGCGGAGTTTGCCAGTTTGCCTCATTCATTTTTTTCTTTATTTTTAGCCATGGAAAAAATTCGGAAAGTGTGCAGTCAAATGTGTGGTGTATCAAGCATATGCCAGAATAAATGGGGAATTTTTTAGATACTTTGGAGCGGAGATACGAATTTTTCCAAAAAGTTCGTTTTTGACTGCTATCGGATCTGAGCTCAGAACTTCACGTGGAATACGATTTGGGCAGACTCTTGATAGCCGTCTTTTAGAGCTTGCTTTGCTCTGTCGAGATTATTCAGGCCACACCACACGAAGGAAGGTACGAAAAGACGGCGGTTGCAGTAAAAACGGTAAAAAATTATGAGACAACCTAATAGTCATGAACTCGACAGACCGACATCACACAAATCTCGCACTTTGTGCGTGGGAACGAAATACTTTGAAATACGCATGTCAAGATTATAGTATTTATGTGCTGTTGCTTCTCCGTGGTGTACAGCATGTTCTGCGTAATTATTCTTACGATGTAATGAGCAAACACGAAAGCAATACCGTCCATTGGTCAGTGTCACTATTGCAATTTCGCAACGCGATATGGCCTGTTTAGCCAAATATTGGCAAGAAACGTGTTAGTTTCATTTGATGCTTTGTGAGTCTCACACTCACAATGAAGGAGGGACTCCACATCAAAAGCGCTTGATGAACGAATCAACGACAGAACAGATACGAGGAATTAGGACTGGTGTAGGACGAACATTGACAGCTTTCATGGAAGGCTGGAAGTAGCAACAACTGTGATAGAAAAAGAAATAAGGAAGAGTCGATTGCGATTTTGCATTCTATTAGGTCGTTCCATAAGTTCGTAGCGTTTTTATAAACCAACAAAATCATCAGTTTACAGTAAAAATCACTCAAAATTATATTCCTGGTTGTAGCGCACAACCTTTTGGCACATTTTTGTTAGCTTCTCAACCTCAATTTTTCGAACGGCAGCGCGCCGGGTCCCAAGAAAATCATCTAACCAGCGCTCAAGTTGCTTACTGAAATCGAGACATGCACAATTCATGAGGTTTTCCAGAAAGCGGAGCAAATGATAATCTGGTAGAGCGAGGTTTGGAGAGTATTTTGGGTACTGAAGTACCTTCCACTCGAGTCGTGCAGGAGAGTTTTGAAGACGTTTGCCGTATGAGGCCATGTTTCGTTATGCAGAAAAACTCACTGGTTTGTCTGTTAGGCTTTTTCTGCGGGTTAAACCGTGCATTTGGATTGCTTATGTCGTGGTTGACCGTCATCTACTTGTCCAGCAATATTCAGTGCAGGACGTCCTGCCCGTCCCCCGAAAAGTCTTCTTCAGGGACATCCTGCTCAGCTCCTGCTCTTTTGTACCAATCCAACTCTTTGTCTTATGTTGATGAACAAACGCCACGTTACATAATCGACACAAAAATCTGTGCAAAAACGCTTCTTTTCATAACGAAAAAGGCGCAAATGCCGTTACTCCTTTTTGCCTTTCAAAATTTCCATCTTTGGAAGCTGCGAGATCCGAGTGAATCAGCTTTCCACCGAAATCAGTAGATGTGTTTCAAAAAGCACAATCAGCCCTTCCAAACGATATATGCATTCCGCCGCAAATCAACCGATCCTCAAAGATATGAGCACGAAAAAAAAACGCTACGAACTTATGGAACTACCTAATAGATACCAATGTAGAAAGGACCGATAAAACTAAGTTTTGATTGAGAGAAAATCTAGCGCTAAATAATGATACTGACTTGCGGAGGATCACCAAGTCGGTGCTTTTTACCCTTCCATATTTTCCGATACCATACCGTCGGAGGGTAGAGGGCTTGCTTGGCCGAGGGCGGGATCGAATGTTCAACTTATGACGGAGTTTACCAATCTCTCGTCGGCGTTGGGTCATTATTAACGACTGCCCTGACAGGCGAGTAACCGATCCCGTGATTTATAAAAGTTTGCGGCGCGCGGCGCAAACGGGCAGCAGACTCTGATCTGTCGAGTTCGGGTCTACCGTGCCCGGCATTCCAAACTTGCCAGAGCGGACATCTTCGCAAGTTTTGCGAGAAAAAAATGCGCTGAGTTTTTCGATAAAGACTGCACTTTGTGATGGCAAATTCAGATTTGTCGGAATACCTCCTCCAGTTCTATAGATCTCATTTTTTGGAAATGACTACAACGTAAAGCGGAATGGCAGCTGTCTACCTCTTAGTATGTTCTTCACTATTTTCATCGAATGAGGGTTGTTGATACAGTTGGACTGTGGTTGTTCGAGGATATCCTACAAAGCCAGAGTTTGGCTCAACTCCAATTTGTCTTTCTTTTTCTTAATTACTAACTGTAGGAAATACAAGGCGAAAAGAGTCATCCTGTCTTCACAGCAGGCATCTGTTGAAGCTTGCAAGGGCACTGTGGAAGTTATCCTAATAGTCCACATAGAATATTATTGTGCGCAGCTCGTCAGCAACCATCGTTGGAGCCTGGCTCATACTATTAATTTCATCAATAGAAGTATTTACATGAAATATGAACTTTTCCAACGCTGTCCATCCGCAAAAGTTTAGCTATTAGTAAAAGAAAAGTTCAACCTTTTGACATACTAGTTACAAGCAGGAACCAGTTGTGGATAGCTTGTAAGTAAGTCTGAGGTAAGTGCAGAATGAAATTTGCGAGAATAAGAGCGAGTTGAACGAAACAAGTGTAAAGTTCTCCACTACAGTAGTATTTGAATCGGTGGAAATACTGGGTTGTTTCAAAAGTTCTACCCGTTTTCGGATTCCAACCTTTCTTCGCCATAGATCTTTTAGAAATGATCACTACAATCAAATACTTTTTTAGGCCATGATTCATTGGCAGTTCTAACATACTCAAAAATCATAGCAGTAATAGAGAAATTCTCTAGGCAAAGATTGCCAAACAACTCTTTTTTACAGAAATATAATTCAAGAAGCCATAACTTTTTTTGGATTGTAGTAAATTCACAAGCACTGTTCACCACGCCATTCCATGCG